TTCCACGCATTGTACGGTGTAAAACCACGGCTACTTTTAATTTCCGTCTTCGAGCGAGGAACTCGGTGTGGTATAAAACAACTAACATATCATGTTCGCTTTCACAGACCGGCGTGAAAATGCTAACATAACGTAACCCATACTTTTTATACGATTTTCATTTCCGTGTCGTTCGCGCAAGCTCAGCGCTGGCCAGGAAATTTATTTTATTTAAAGAGAATTTATTATGAAATTCTGTGTAAGTTATTCGGTAAAATTTAACACCTTTTATTAATTTCTTTTTTAAATTACTATGGGACGGAGTTAGTATAATGGAAATAGAGTATGTACCTATCCGTTAAAAATGACTTAGGAAAAATAATACGGGTACATAGCGTACCTAAAAGCATTTTCCTTCGGCTTAATTGGAAACGACGCAATTTATCTTCGTAGGGAATATTTTTCTTTACTCTGGTCAGTGTAGTTGTCGAGAAAAAGCAAACACAGGCAAAGTTATCCACACCTACGTCTCGGTTGTCGTATGAAAGAAATCTAATATCCTTTGGGAAAACACAGTCGGTGATAGCGCAGCCCGGAGGAAAATAAAATATTCACCGTCAAAGATTTCCTTGAGATAAAACCGGCTTATAATATTGTCCAGAAGGGTTCGCAAATATTTTGTAAAATAATGATTTTGTCAAATGTAACTGGAGTGATAAAGACGTATTGTTTGGACGGAGTTTTAGTGTGACGGTTACAAAAGATATGACAACAACAGAGACATGCAATATGTTTTTATGATATAATGGGGACAATGGGACGTGTATTGTGTGAAAAATGTGGAGATATTTTATTGGATGTATTCTGTTACTTATGTAATGTAGGTAAACGATTTACTTGCTTTTTTCATCGTTTGTATCCCTAACATACTCACACTTGTATGTTATACATACATTTATTTAAGTAAAATGTATAATATATGGTGTAACAATAAATGCTAAGTTTCTATTATCATGACATTGTCCTCAAACTTCGTCAAAGTAGATAACTCTGTTCACCCAGCTCATTAAAGTTTCGAAGTCACGACCAGTCTCAAGCAATTGCCACAACTTATCATCCGTTGAACAGAAACCACATGTCGAATTAATTAAATTACGTAAAACTTTACGTCGCGTCGTAGTGCAATATTTATAAACGGTTTATAAGTAGGTAGATGTTAGTGTCTATTCCATTTGAGATTGATAAAAGAAGCCATTTCGATATGAAATAGGCAAAACTAAAATAAAAGTGTTGCGAACTACCGAAGAAACCGCTGTCAAAAAAGTTGATCCTTTCTTTCTTTCTATTTATTCTCAAACAAAACCGGGAGCTAAGAAGTAAGAACAAAATGTTTATTGACAAACTTTTGTAAGAAGCTGACAGTGTTACGGAACAAATGTCAGATCGGATGAGCAGGAATTTGTAGGATAAATCGGGCGCCATTGCACTTACCTACTGTTATGATGGATATCGGATCCCAACGGTTTGTTCCAAAAATTGTTTGCTGTTATTTTTTTATTGCTTCAGTACTTGTTTATTTTGTCGTCATAAGGTTTCAAGTCATGATTTTAGGTTTTAGAGACGATACAGAACATTTTATTTCCTCTTACATTTATAATGCTATAAATAATTTTAAAAGGACGTTGTGAAGGAGATTAATCAAAATGGAATGAAAAATCCCAGTAAGTTCTTTGGCTACAATAACTAATTCGCTGAGTAAACCATAATTCAAAGTTTTGTACTGAACTTGACAATACTTAAGTTTACAATAAACTAAACAGACATTATTTTGTACATACATATATGAATTATGGTATCTGTTTTTGTAATAACTATCGTGAGACATACTAAATTAAGTGAGCTGCGCGACGTCGCCGCGACCGCGCACGCTGCTCATGAGGAAGAACCCCTCTGTGGTTCGAAACTAGTAGAGCTTTTCTCAGTATATTCACGTGAGTAACCCGCGTTTTTACTTAATTATGGTATCTGTTGTTGTATGTTAAATAACTACATTATGTAAAGAACAATTCTACGAAAAGTACGTATTTTAAAAAGTTTAATTAAAGGAACTTATTAAAGATTATAATAAAGAGGTAAGCATTACTTTTCCATTTTCTTATCACCCTGCATGTGGCAGCCATTTATAGAAGTTACGAAGAAGTAAATAAATATTCTGTACCGACTACAGACGAAAGTTCCGCACAACTTTCAGTGGTAACATGTCGCCAAAGAAACGTCCATGTGAATAAAACCTAATTTAAGTTACAAAAAAGGGAGAAGTCACGAGTCTTTTGCGCGCGTAAGTTGACTTTTTACCGTCGCGTACTTTTACTAGTGTTGTACATACGTACAACAAAATATCTGCAAGCGCGCTCCACAAAATTTCTCGCGATTCTAAACAGTGTTTCTGTTTGCCATGAATAATTCATTGTTGTTTAACATTATCGGAGTTGGGATTATCTATAAAGGACAAGGGATTGATTTGAAAGTGTACGTACTCCAAAACAATAGATTATTAAGCTTAAACAAATGTCCCTTCAGTGATAATCCTTTGTTTTATTGCCAAGGCAAGTAATCCACAATGAAATAATCGGTTCACTGTAATTAACTTTTGAAATTCCTATACTTAAAAAGATTTTTGTGGAAAACGACCATGAAAAGAAAATTTAATTCAGTAATTTTCTTTCTTATAACTCGATTCCAAATGATAAAAGTTTTAAATGGAACCACTTCGAGATCAAATATTTCGTGGAATTGGTTGGTACCCTTCCGGAAATGGCATCATAAAGCCACTTTTGGCTGCCTTTGAAGTTATAACTGTGCTTTATTTTATACTGCTGTGCCAATACCATTTAACGTGACTGTAAAACATTGCGAATTCTTAACCTTACTTACCTTACAATGAAATGTTTCAAATGAGTTAAAATTATAGCAACAATATCTTTTCGTCTTTTTTCTTAAATTATAAACCTACATGAATGTATCAATAAAGTTTGATTTATATTTTTAAATGACAGATAAATGTTTATATAAGTGATATCAGAAATAATTCGTCCAACAAAATATAAATCATGCTAACTTTCTTTCGGGAAAATGTTGTCAAAACTGAAAGCGAACGCCACAAAGAGAATGGGACGCAGGTGAAAATATGTTCTGCCATACCGTGTGCCGGGCAGCCGGCGTGATTTTGGCAATATTTTCAAACGAGATTTTACAGAAGCCCGATATGTGAGCGGTCTCAAAGTCTGATAGGTTTTTTTTAATTGAAAAGGTCTGCGTCCGACCCATGTACCACCGGAAGATAAAACGTTGTGTAATAGTTGGACACGTAATGTGTTCAAGAGTAATACCTATTATGCACTCGTGACTCGCTGACTTTCTTTTAATATTTGGTACTCTAATCTACATAATAAACCTTTTGGAAGCCGAAAAGTGATAAAATTATGTGAAACAAAATATTAAAACACATTCGAAACATGTCTATTGTCAATACTTTATTTCTATTTCCTAATTTAACTTAAATATAAAATCAAGTAACAAAAATATCGTTAGTGTAGTGAGTGAACTGAAGTTGCAAGCGATTTTTGAGTGTTTGCGGTTAGCGGTTAGACTAAGCAAAGTTTTATTACGATTTACGATTCTGGAATGCTCAACAGTAGCAAGGACATTTACGCTTATCCTTTACCCGTATATTTCTAATATGTCTATTTCTACCAACCTTGTTGGAGGAAAATGGGGGATATTCTAGACAAGGAAAAGGATTTATTCGTTATCAGTGACTATAATAAATGTGTTACTAAAACGTACAGGGAGTACAGAAGGAATATCACCCATTGATGATAAATGTATCGGTCGTGTACCCTTGTATCTTGTCATTCGATGATGGAATGACCTACAGGGAATTAAGATAACGCACATCCCGTTTAATCTTTCCCATAAAACATAGATGTGTCAGATTTTCTCTAGTATGTAAAATTGACGAGACGACGATACGACAGCTAAATAACTTTTAATTTGTCAAACACAAATAATTTTAAATATCTATAAAAGTCCGTGAGCTGCGCGACGTCGCCGAGACCGCACACGCTGCTCATGAGGAAGATCCCCTCTGTGGTTCGAAACTAGTAGAGCTTTTCTCAGTATATTCACGTGAGTAACCCGTGATTTTAGTTTTATCTATAAAAGATAATTATTTGCCAGTCTCTGTTGTAAGAATACAAGAATAAATGCACAGTAACAACAAGTAACTAAACCTGAACCTGAAACATAAATAATCCTAAGAAACAAAAGCCAATAACAGAGATAATAGAATCAGTCATAACAATGAATATGTTAGAGGAAGGTTGAAAGAAGCGTTCGATAACAAAGGCGCTGATAGGCAACCGTCTCAAAGAGCAGATAATGTAACAACCGGGCTAATAAATATGCAGCCAGTCGTGTGCAATATCAGGATATTACTCGCGTTGCCATAGATAAGATAGTAATTTCACCCTTCACTCAACCCTTCGAACGTTAGGGGTAGAAATAGGAATTGTAATATTTCCCCTATTCAGCCTGGTCGTAATAAGCCCTAATGCCTATCTAGTGAAACATCTTTTATGTAGGTCTTTACGGATTTTTTTATTGCTTGTCAGTCTACACTATTTATTCCTTCAGGTATTACTTCAGCTTGTGTACTTTTTTTTTCTTTAAATATGTTTTTGTACAATTATTTTAATTTAATAATATTCTAATCCTGAACTAGGATTCATTAGGATGAATTAGGATTTAGTATAAATTAGAATTTATACTAAAATAAGACTACCTTGTTGAACATAAGTACAAATGCTGAGTTATGAAGGTTAAATAACTTGCCCATCAGTGCCAAGAAAGATATTATGAAACCTCGTGTTCAGCATTACGGTTTTCATCTTATTGATCACCGAGTCAATCAATACTTTCAACAGCAACGTAATTCTAACAGCATCATTTTTCTTCAATAGAATCTAAAGAATCAGATAATGACGACCAATTTGTGGGTGGAGCAGTCGTGGTATGACTACAAGTTGCGCTGGGAGCCGCGCGAGTACGGCGGCGTGCACATGCTGCACGTACCCTCCGACCACATCTGGAGACCAGACATCGTCCTCTACAACAAGTGAGACCCATTCATATTTACCAGCTTCACATAAAGATTACAATTAAATTGTTGTTGTCTGATAAATTTTGAAGGTGAAGCAGCGAGCCGTGCTCCTCTTTACTTTATCTTCCACTCTGAATCTTAAATAATCTGTCTCAACTTATCTTTTGATCCGATCCGATCAATAGCAAAGTCCTTCGTCAATCGCATCGCTAAAATTTATATTTGTGTGGAGTTACCGCCTGGAGCAAAATCATTAAAATATTTCCAGTAGCCTACCAACAATAAAATTCATCTCGATTCTAAATACTCAGTCACTCGTTACAAAACTCACGAGCGTACAAATTCTCAAATTAAAAAGCAATTCGATTTCTGTTACGTAATAGGAGAAGTCTCTCGGTATATTTTTCTTTCTCCCCGAGCCCGCATACTTACCGCCTAATTTCTGAGATAGCATTAGCGGAGATACTGGGAACCTCCAAGAACTGGAAATCAAATTTTCGTATGATTTGTTACCAATACATTCCACGTTTCCTTTATATTTCCAAGTTTGGAGATCGATACGAACTACAAACAAGTCGAAGTTCACTAAGTTAAACTGTTCTAACTTACTGGTGGAGAACCTAATTACGGGAGAGACGGCATCATTTACTGTGATTCTGTCTCTAGCTATATTGCCTCTAATGAAAACGAAAATGTGCTCACGACGAGGTAACACATGTAATTAACTTTGGATCGAGTTCGGAGAGAAACGGCCAAATTGGGCGATCATAATATGAAGGTGTCGGGATTAATATTATAAACATCGTAAACGAGACTAACTTGTTACATTTTACGATGAAGATATTTAGAAGTTCCCCCGCTTATTTCGCTGTATTTTTATTACTTCTTCGCTATTTTTGTAGTGTGTATGTGTGTGTGTGACATGCCTGCCTCCAGAGTGTTGCGGAAGTGTTTTACAAAAGACGCTGAGAGCTACTCGTCTGAACTATGAACAGTGGGCGCCACGATTCGCTGCTTCACCAGACTTCTAAAATTGTACCGAATTAATACAGATGACATTCCATTTACACTTATTTTGTACTAGTGCCCTTATGTTTTACACCTACACCATTGAACCACCCTACACAGACATCTTCACAAATACCCATAGTTACCAAATACGTACTTGACAGATACCTGATAAACCGAGTAGTATCCTATTAAATATTTTTATTGGTACAAAATACTATTTAAAAACATACAAAACCATATACCATGCTTTGAAATACACTGGTCATAGTTGACATACTACATTTACGAATTAGTTATGTTGAACAATAATAGTTTTGGAATAATTAGCAAACGACGAAATGTTAGAACAAAGCCTCTGAATCGTATTTTACTTACAGTGCAGTATTAGGAATAAGGCTCACAAAGCATAGCATTGTCCCACAAAACCAATAGCCGTGAATTCTAACGTTGTAACCGTCCTAATTGACGGAAACCCAGAGATTACTTTTGTCCCATTTTCCCCTCCTTTACCGGGTGCGTATTTATCACTTCTTGCGAAAATATTTCAAACCATAAACTCAATAAAATATTAGCGCGGTCGTAGTCGAGTTTATAATTTAATTTCCTTTACTTTTTTGTTATTTAGGTTACTCTAGATTTTATTATGATAGCAACGGAGCTGCAAAGTCAACGTAAAACGCGGCCTTTGCCTTTTGACTGGGAAGTTTAATTAATTTGAAGACAAAATCAATTTCGATATTACGTTAAGTGCACAACGTTCCGTACGTTCATGGATTGATAGATTGAAAAGCGCAATTTCATGCCGTCACGAGCAACAATGGCTTCCAAAAATAATTTTGTGCATCGTTAAAATAACAATATAATTCTCACAATATTATCACAACGTTCAGTATAAACATTTTATTTTGCTGGTTATAGCTATTGATGGGTTGAAGCTACAATTCACAAGTAACGTATTGCGGCAGCTTCTAAATACTATCCAGTTTAGATTTAACAATAACTATTCTGTTGATAGCTAGGGTTGTTGCGAGGATCTATATCATTAGTCTAGCATTCTAACTCCATCATTACAAACACAAGACTAAGATTTTATATCTTTGTTACATACAGTATGATCGTGCTTATTAACAGAATTTGAATACTACTATGGTACTAAGCATTATTATCATTCACCACGGCTTGTCTATAAAACAACCACGAAAATTGGAATTATATTTGAGCCAAATAACGTTTTTGGTTATCCTTTCAGAGGAAAATAGATTTTAATGCTACGATATTTAAATAAAATCCTTAGAAAATAATTTGCAATTACCTGTGACTCTCAAGGGATTAACCTTTGGGAGTTTCAGGAAAATCAAGCGAGAAATACGCCTCCACTCTCTCCAAGCGATCTCCTTGCATCCTTCAACCCTCAGTCAAGCGCATCGATTTTTCTTCTAAGAATGAAATTTCCATTAAAGACGAAGACAGTTAATTTGAACGATACCGTAGTAAACCTTTCAGCTTTAAAATATGATGATACGGACGTATTAATATGGCTATTTCAAACGTAAGTGTACGTTTTATTGGTTTCATTATATTGTCTTTTGAATTATGTAATTCGATGGTAATCGATAAGTATTAGGAATCACGTTTGATTACTTTCTTTCTCCTTCATTAATTGAATATATTTTCACACCGCATTGACTAAAAATTACTACAAACAAAAATAGTAAAAGTACCGTCTGAAGAGCGCGAGCGGTGAGAGCGTTGTTACAAGTTTCACAAGTGTATTGTGGACGTAGTTGGCATTCATTTTGTCGCGGCCGCCACCTTGAGGCGTCGGACTTTGATAAATGGCCGGGACAGCAATCGTTACTCATTTCCTGTCCCTTCCCGCGACCTGTGTCCCCGTCCGCCCCGTCGTCCCCTCTAATGTGCACATTTTTGCTCCTACCTCAAACCGGGAACACCTGCGATGAAAACCCTTTGAATGAACGAATGTATGGACCCCCACGCTGTGATTTGTTAACCCTTATCATCGAGATTCGCACACCTCCGTGTTTCATATTTTTGTTGTCATGTTTTTCCATTCTTTTATTGGATGTCTTCGTCGTTTCATCCACATTGATTAAATTAAATTTAATAAATGATGCAAATAAAATGTCCTTTCCTTTCGCTGTTAATGCATGTTTATGTTGTGTCGTAATGTGTTAATTTAAACAAATTAAAATTATTTATTTGTTCTAATTATCAGTATTAATAATGTCTTCGAAGATTTCGTCGACGCACTAAAATGATGAGTATATTATTTTGAATTGTAATTGTTATGCTCATATGATTAACTGTTTTCTTTCAGCAAGAATAAACTTAAATAACTAAACACGTTGAGTAGGTATATTATTACATTTTCCAAAAGTGATTAAATTAATTTCAGAATATGAAAATTATGTAGAATATTTTTATGTTTCGTTGTTTAGGTCGGCACGTCGTACAGTAGACAAGCTGTCTAAATAAAGTAGCACGATTACCGGTAACAATAAAGGTACAACAAAGACTTATTACGTTTGAAATTAACAGAAGCGTGACCCAAGTAGCCAGTGTACGTGTATAATTACGTACTAATCTGAGACTGATAGTGACACAAAGTTTCCCGCACATGGTCCACACACAACATACTCGTACTGACGCACTTGATGGTATTTGGTGAGACACAACTGACCGGTAGGGCCGCGAGACGGCTTGTAAACGTGCGTTAACATTACAGTGCCGACGGCAACTTCGAGGTAACGTTGGCGACCAAGGCGACCATCTATCATCAGGGGCTGGTGGAATGGAAACCACCCGCCATTTACAAGTCTTCCTGCGAAATAGACGTGGAATATTTTCCTTTCGACGAGCAAACATGCGTTCTTAAGTTCGGTAGCTGGACGTACGACGGATTCAAGGTAATTGCGTGGAGCTCCGTCACCGCTCTCGCTGACCGCTCTGTTTGTCCGCAGCGCCGACGGCAACTACGAGGTGACGCTGATGACCAAGGCCACCGTCTACTACAACGGCATGGTGGTGTGGCAGCCGCCCGCCGTCTATAAGTCCTCGTGCTCGATCGACGTCGAGTTCTTTCCTTACGACGTGCAAACCTGTGTGCTTAAGTTAGGCAGCTGGACGTATGACGGCTTCAAGGTGACGCCCCGCTGTACGCTGCTTGGCGCCGCGCGCGCGGGCCGTAGCCGTAGGGCCCGCCGCCCCGGCCGATGTCCATGCAATAGCTTGTTGGCTCGAACGTAATTCGTCGTGTAATTATATTACTTTTCTGTCCATGTGGTATGTTCACTTTTACATATTGACTGTAACGACGACGCTAGAGTAGTGGCGAAGAGCGTGCGCTCGGTGCCGACGCGCGCTCCCCGCCCCCGGCTCGCTCCGTAGCTCTGACATGTTGCAAGTTTACATTTCTATTGCGATGGTGATGTCTTAAGTATATGGAGTAGCGGTATGTCAACGTGCGTGATCACGAATGCTCCAGAATATCCTCGGCCGGTCCACTTAGCTCGTTCGGCCTTCCTCGCTCGACACGGAAAGGTATAAAATTTTAACAGCCAGGTGATATGGGATGCAATAACTTCACTCGATCCGTTCCTACCCGACACATCCCGCTCCGAATGAGCCTTTCCGTGCTACACGATAAGCCGCGAGTTCGCAGGTAAATATCAGTTAGATGAACGTTGAGCTAACAAAGGCATCGGTACGCGGACCGGCGTCACTCGGAGCTGTCACACCCTTCCATAGCTGGCTCCGCTCGCGCCACACACACACAGACACACGCCCGCCACACAGCTTGTTGCATGGTCCCCGTCAGTGTACACTCCACTCACCGCATGACTCAGCTTGTTCCGAATCACTTGCATTCCCGATCACGGCGCCGGCGGTCGCTCGCCGCCCGACGCGGTCGCGGTCGCGTCTCTGTACACAGCTTCACACGAACCTACACGCGAACAGGTTTAGCACAGCACGTGAAACCAAACGAAGATAAAGATCACACTTGTTGCTCTGTACACTTTCGAGCATAAAATAGTCATCATGTTGCATATTTTATACCTTTCCCTATTAGCGACTCATACTTACTGGCTGTACCTAGTGTGGTGTCGCTGGCAGTCCATTGCATGTTGTCACATCAACGAGAGACGATACCACTCCCGACTTTGACACGGAGTTCATAATGCACAAATCTAAATGTTAAAGTAGAACTCGCCGTCTCGTCGAAGCGTCGAGGACCCTCGGCAGTCGAGGAGGCGGCCGTTGCATGCTATTACAACACTCGAACGAAGCACGCGTCTTATGCCAACACGTCGCCACTATAACGAACGCAATCGTTGGTACAGTAGATACAAGAGACTTGGATAAGTTGGTATGAGGCGGGTCGCTGGGAGACGCTGCGTCCGCGCGACACACACACGCGCGGCGGAGCCGGCGCTTTCGACCTCCTTATCAGATTTTTTGACGAGTCGTTGAGGATGAAGTGCGCTACTTCCGAGATGCGATGTTCTGACACGAAGTAGTGCGCTCATTCTACGCGATAACGTGAAGGAACCAGACCAAGGAGGTTGTCCTCATCCTATACTCTTGTCGAAAGCTCCACGATCACTCGTTATATTCGGTGTTTTCTGTGTTTTCGCGTTGTTATTTCTTCGCATGAATCGAATTGTTGTGACATGTCTACATTGAAGATTAATGTGTCGGTTTGTCGTTAAAGGTTTTGATCTCAGTTTGTACTCAGGTACATCCCACTTGGCACACTGTGTGGTTTGTTTTCGAGGGTAATGCGAACATCAGTTTGGAATATGATCTTTATACAGAGACTCCGAGATACTGAAGTACACAGTTAACATGTCTGCGTTGCCTACATTTTATGGGATTTTTATCTAGATTCAACACATTGTGTGACAGGGTGCATGTATCCAATAAGTAATTATACTGACTAAATAGGCTGTGAACTAAACTTAAATAAATAGAATTAACAACTAACTAATCACTATACTTTCATGGAATAAAAAATAATATTAAATAATATTAAATCACACTATTTCTATGTAAATTGAGTCGATCCGTCATGAAATTCATATTCAGATGTTTTGACGATGAATTAAGTTTTTCTTATTATTTTTTATTCCATATGAAATACTAATGAGTAGAACTAACCTGCATCATTCTAAACGCATATCATAAGATTAAACCAGTAATAGTAAATGTGTTAAAGTTCCTTATATATGTGTCTTTTAAAGTTATCGATGTGTATTTAACTAGAGTATATTAATTTTAAGTTATGATATTAATAAGTATCTAACAATATTATGATGTTAGTATTTTGGCACCGGAGTTTCTCTAGGAAATTAATGGAGTAAGTATTTAAAGGACTTCTACAGAAACGAGGACATCAAAATATTTTAAAAGATAAGTAACCATACATTACATCTGACAAAAACAGACACAAACAAAGCAATCAGAGGGATTATTAATTACTGGAAATAGGATTTCATTCTTTGCTTTTTTGAGGTTGTCTCAAACAGTACGGTTGCTTTAAATCAAATAAGCTCATGTGGGGTTTCCTTATCTTAGCGACAGCGCGACTTTCATAATCGCAATCAAGACACGTATCCCGTGCATTCCCCACATTTGAAATTCTAATCAATTTTGTTCATTCAAGACGTAGCTTAAGATGAATAAATTCATAATTCAACTCCGGTGCCTTGTGAATGTACAAGATGTACAGGGATGTTGGGACGTGTAAATAGTTTTTTGAGTTGGTATGTACGCAGGTGGATCTGAGACACATGGACGAGCAGGCCGGCAGTAACGTGGTGTCGGTCGGGGTCGACCTGTCGGAGTTCTACATGTCTGTCGAGTGGGATATACTCGAGGTGCCAGCTGTCAGGTACATAATCCTGTGTCTATTTATACCCCCCGGCTACGGGAAATGTTCCGCGAATATCCGAATCCACTTGTGGTGTTAATTTGATTCACTTGCTCTCTACTATTTCGTAAGATCATTCGAAAATGGACGACAAAAAAACAACACAAAAATTTACACAAGGATTTACTACTTAAATATGAGCGTTTTATTGTTTATCGCATAATGTACTTTAAACTATATTATCTCAATAGTCTGCCTTCACGTTTGAGCTGAGAACACTGAATACATAACTACAGAAGCGTCGGACATTGAAATTGGCTTTCCTTTTGAGTAGGTACATATTTTTATGATTGTGTCTTGTCTTGATACATTCTAAAATAGTGGTTCTAAAAGAATTTTTTCACTAAACTTATTCAGCGAATATGAAATACCAGTACATAGTTCCTGGTAGAAGATAGAAGATATTTCCTATGTTATTCGCAGTTAATGTTACAGTGAAATAATAACCAGTACACAGACATGACGGATGAGTTCAGCGATGTTCCTGAGAGCATAACGTAGTTGAAATTATTCAAGTAAATGTCGGTATTTACTTGAATATTTAAGGAACGGCGGCATAAAGATACTCGTGTTCGTGCCTGGAAATATAAAAGTTTATCGTACGACCGTTTAGTTTCACTTATTGTAGGCGGGACGGTGACGGCTGAACTAAATGACCGCTATCAGTACTTATGTTATTACGACAGATGGCCATTTATATTCACTTTGGGCCGTGGACATTCCTTACTCTTAACATTTAATTACATAATATTGTAACAGGAAGAATCCCGAGGTTTCAATTAATTAAAACGATTCTTCTTGTGTATTATGTTTCGCACTTGAACAGTAATTAAAAAAAGGCCAAATAAAAGCTCGGAACAGCAGTGAATACGTCCCTTAGGCGGTAAACAAAAGTTAATTGGAGCTCGATGTACTGCGGTCGTTTGTCCTCAGCCCTCCTTGCCGGCTACGGGCCGTTATCCGGCTCTCGAACACACGAGTGTCATTATTAACCCAACGTCACTTACCTCGCCATCGCTTTTACGACGTGTATCCGCTTTGCCGCGTTAGGTATCGCTTGCTATTAAACTTCATACACATACCGATTTAAACCTCTCCAAGATGCGTACCTATACCTAACAGCTGAGTAAGATGTTCTGATAAGTCACGTTGTCGGACGTTTGGAGCACCTCAGTATCCCCCAAATAATCTAATCTAAGCTTGTATAAAAACGCTGACTTATATCCTTTAAGACGCTTTACTACGATCTATCTTTGTAGTCGACATTTTAAAATTCTAAGAGGATTGTAAAAAAGAAAGAGGTGTTCAGAATACTTAAAAGACAAGCAATAATAAAAAGGAACAACCCCTTTTGAATAAATAAAACACAAAAATAACTCAGCTTTATAAATGTGTCATTTGAGTACCTCGTCAAATAAAACAATATTTCAGTTTACATACACGGGTGGCGTATTGTGAAAATGTTGGTGTGACAAAGGCCCTGGCTGGGACGCAGTAAAATCTAGTTACCGAGCCTCCGGTAATGTCCTTTATACATATTCTGTAGTTGTAACGTTGCCGGCGGGTGACTCCTACTTGCTTTGAATACGGTTTCTACGTCCACGTTAACAAAGCCATTGCAACGGTAAAATTGTGGAGTACTTTTATAATCTGTGACGTTTTCTAAAGACGTAGACGCAAGAACGCTTAAATTAATGGGGGTCTATAAGCTTTAATATATTTTATATAATCCACGTAATAAGTCCGTCGGGAATTTTCTTGAGAGTAAGATTTTGATTCAGAAGAAAAGTAATATGATCAACTATATAAAATGGACAAGAAATTTTATTATAATGTCTTACTTAATGCTCGTTTATGCTAAAAGTGAACTAAAATATCAGCACGTTTCTGTGTAGTTAACTGTAACTACAACCAAATAATTTCTTTAGCTGCCAGAGACATAAAATTAAAAAAATCAACATCGAGTATTGAATTTATCCCAATTAATTCACTAGTTAGTATAATTTTAAGCTAATACCTATTTTCGTAACACGACTAAACCGTTTGTCAGCAATAATATCTATGCTTGTGAAAGTAAGAAAATAAAAGTCTACAGCTCCCATTTTCCTCCTAAAATGTTTGGCCAATAATAAAACGCTCATATTTTACCACTGTGAAATATTATATCATAACTTTTGCATATGGAATGTAACCCTTCGTTTGATTGACGGATAGCTAGACGGTCGGGACAAACTGCGCTTTTCCATATAAAATGATTTCCCTTGAAACGATATAAATGCCATTTTCATATTCCTTCAAAGCTTTTACGAGCTACTCTACGAAATTACCCGAATACACGTATCTTATATGTGCGTCTCGTAAAATATTGTTTTACAAAATTTACCAGTTGGACATTCACTTGTTATATAATACATACAATATACATATTATATACTTATATATGTTATATTGTCTATTAGTATTATGATTTATACGTACAACTGTCTAACTATTCAAATGTTTTCACAAGTCTTACAGTTCTACGGCTTCGGGCTTTAGAAGTTTCTATTGCTCGCTTATAAATGACATTTAAATATTAAAATCGCTTGTAAAACTTCAGATGTAAGAGAAAGGCGAAAGTGTCGTTATGGATATTTGACTTTTGCCAAGTTTTGTTTAAAGAGCGTCTGTTGCAGATTCAATAACTGTATACTGTCCGGTAACTTGATTTAAGAAATATGCCCGACTCAAATTGAGTTAACGAATATACTTCTCCGCCTTTGGATGGCATCGTACAATGTTTATTCTTTTGTTTTGCTTTATCCAGGAATGAGAAATTCTACACTTGCTGCGACGAGCCTTACTTGGACATAACATTCAACATCACGATGCGAAGAAAAACGCTGTTTTACACAGTGAACATCATCATCCCTTGTATGGGGATCTCTTTCCTTACCGTCCTCACATTTTACCTGCCTTCAGACAGTGGAGAGAAGGTAATTATGAAATAGTTAGACATACCTTTATTGTATTGTTACCATTGTAGTAATTATTTAGAAAAAAATATGTTTCATATGTACGAAGTATGAGCCACGCTCACCAGCCATACCTCTATATAAATTACATCAAGAATTTTACTTTTAATTTATGGCCGGTGAGCTAGTCTCTGTGAACTTACGTTCTTTACGTTCTTTTACCATATTTTTCGTACATAAATAATACATACATAACTCGGGTAACTGCTATTGTGATATTTATTTTATATTTAATATTAGGATTAGGATAGTAGTGGTTACGTGAGAGAAGCGAAGCGGTCCCAAAGTTTAATATTATATCAGTTGCTCGTTTATTTACATTGCGTCTAAAGCTTGACAAAGTCCTCCTTGGGGTGTAGGGTGCCTCTTATGATTTATATATAGCACGTACTTACTAGAAAATAGTATATAATATGTAACAAAAAGAAAAACTTGTCACCCTGGGACCGGGTTGTAAGCTTTTAGCACTAATCCTAGTGTTTTCGTCCACGAGTAATTACAAAAAGAATAGGTTAAGTAAGTAAAGACTACAGAAAACCTTTTATATTTCACACAGTAGTGTAGAACAGCTAATAAATTAGAAACAAGGATCAGGTATTTAATTATACCGATACAATAAAATTGTGTCAAATACAAACCCAGGGAATGTTCGACTCAAAAACTTATGATTTTTGATCGATCTTAATTGTTATTCCGACATAAAATTAATGTAAGAAACAATGGATATAGGTACTTCAATGATAAATAATCTGAGGAGAGTATGGTCCAGGATTCGGAATTGGTTCAGAATTTCGTGGAATCGAACAACTTAAAGTCAGTATTTGCGGATAAACTTTGTCTTTCGCAAAGTTTGAATTATTATTTACCTGGAACTATTACTTGCTTGTTGATCTAGTTGTTGAAGCGACTACTTCATGAAATGATATAAAAGAGGTTCGCTGTTTGGTAAATTCAATAGTAAAATACGATCATTTTACTACTGGGAATTTTTCAAACTAATTATTTGGCCTCCAATTATTATGTATATAAAACTATAGTAAAATACGTCTTAATAAATGTACCTAATACAAATTTCGGCGTATTAACAAATACAAACAGGGTACGTGTTTGTCACAGGAAAAAATTAACACGGAGAGATATTAAAATATGCAGTCTTTAAAGCACCTTTTTATATTCGAGAAATCAAAAGGAAATTATTAAAGAACTTATTTTTCATAGTATTTAGAAACACAGTCATGAATCCTCTTTACATACATATTTATGACGATGTTCCTACCTCGTAATATTTAACATCGCGCTAAAAAAGCATGGCAACATAATGAAAGCACCTCATGTTTTTTATTACATTACTTTTACTCACGTGAATAAAATTTTCTGCGTTGTTATTGGAGTGAACATCTAAAAACAAATTAACAAAAATTCCTCGCATTTTGTCGGCAAACTTTGGGCGGCCCGTAAACTTTCACTGTGAATATTGTTACAACCGTTGAGGTTCAAATTGCTCAAATACGATTACTCAACGTGTTCTTTTATGAGTCTCTTGTGATTACTCACCCCAACGTAATAAAAATGTATTTCATTTGTATATGAAGCTCTCGAATCGCGCTCAGCTATGATTTACACGCCCCCTCCCGCGAGTCTCGCGGGTAACGGCCCGGCGATCCTATCGAGGGGATTTAAACTAATGACATTATATTGTTATCTCTAAATGTGTTTAGAAGATTCAGCAATATTGTACAGTCACGTACTAACGTATACATAATGATCCCATTACTTATCGACTGAAATATTACTGAATTAATTAAGAGAATACTGGAAATCGATTTCATTTTGCCTGATTTTAACAGTATTGTTGTTGTTGTGCTATTATTGTTAAGTGTATAAAATATATGAATAGATGAAATATCCCAATAGAAATATCTCTCAACATTAGGATCAACATTAGGACTCTCTCAACTAGGATGCTACTTGAATCAAGAAATTATTATTAAAAATTTGTATTAATAAGTAGAATAACTGTCGAAATACATAGTATGTTCATAGTTGAAGCTTAATGCTACGACATGCCGTAGCCGAGAATGCTACGACATGTTTCTGTGCCTACGCCGTAGCAGGTCGGTGCACGCTGACTTCCTAGAAGTTTTTTTCATAATATTGCTGTTTATTATATGAAATGATCTTGTTTATTATGAAAAACATATTTATTAAATAATGAGAATTCAAGCCTTTGTTATTGATTCAAGAATTTAATATCAATTTAAATGGAACCAATCCAGTATCCGTCCGTAATTAATCGTTTTGGAATTTAATATTTAATTTTATAAAATGAAGCTGTAACTCGTAATGGGTAAATATTTGCTGTATATTAATTCTGATGTCGAAATGCACGAGATATTAAATTATATTATTTTACAGTAAGAGGTAACAGTACTACGGAACAATATCGACTGGCCGGATGATTCAATTATTCATTAATGATTTATTTAATACTAACTTCTGGCAGCAGCTTTGCGCGTGGTTCCGTCGGCTAAAAAGTAGCCTATGTATTAACCCAACTATGAAATATATCTATACATAAATTCTATTAGCATATTTAAACAAAGCATTGTGTAATAATATTATTTTAACTACTATTATAATAAATATTTATTAAAACAAAATGTAAAAGATCCAACAACAACATCATTCAACTATTTGTGTATAGTTTTGTTGAACAACGCGTTAGATTGTAAGGCATACTATGTACCGTTTATTAAATAAAATAAATAAAGTTACCCTCTATGGGTGTGCCAAATATCATGGTTCTGCAGTTTTTGTGTGAAGGAGAAACAAACAAACAAACAAACAAACATACAAACTTTCGCATTTGAAAGCTCAGGACGGCCTTCATTAGAATTATTCATCGTGCAATGTATATGTGGGTAGGAGTAGAATCAAGAGGCGTTGTCTTGAAAAACTTCAACGATTTTACTTCAGATAGTAACATGATTACGTAATATTCATCACGTCAATTACAATTAACATACTATCACTTATGTATTTTAATTAAGACGATGGCTAGCGATTCGTCGAAAACGTGGTGCTCTTGCGACCGCTCTATAGAATATGACATCCCCGGCTCGCTGGCGCCGCCTCGCTACCCTCGACTCAACGCTCCGCCAGAGTGACAGTAAGAAATTGTCACTCTTGACATTTGCATCGCTATGTGCGCCGACACATTTTTAATATTGGTAGGATTTACTGAACATAATTTCATCTAAGTAATAGAAATATTCATGTCATCTACGGAACAGAAATAACAGTATTTCTTGATACAAAATAACAACAAACTCATATTCAATACGTGGCTCCTGCCGTTCCCCGATGGATGTCCTTGGGGCAATAACAAACGTGAGGTGCATAGTACGGCCTTTATATGATGAAGGAAAAGCCTTTTGCCATGCACTGGATATATTTTCGTACAATTGTGGATTTATAAATCAGTACCTAATGTTGTAATCGGCTGCTAGCTGCTAAAATATGTAGTTCGAGACGTAGTTCGAGTATGGGTAAACCCATACAAGAAAAGAAACTACAAACAGATTTTTCAATTTTTAAATATACGTGGATTTCATGACGTAGTCCAACTACCCTACATCCTACTAATATTATAAATGCGCAAGTTTCACAGTGTTTATATGTTTGTTTCTTTTTCACGTCAAAACGGCTGAAGGCATCAAGATAAAATTTGGAACAGGGATAGATTATAGTCTGGAATAACATATAGGCCACGTTTTCCCACGGAAACGCGGGCGAAGCCGCAGGCAGAAGCTAGTATAATATACTTATGTATTTGTAATCAGTGAAACTACGAATTATTGGAAGACACACTATGTAGGTTTAATCTAATAAGGAAATCGAATTTGTGTTTTGGCCCATAAAGCACATAATAAACGTATTCCAAATTATATCTAATGGAGTGTGGATACGTGCTCGTTGCGTAAAGATCAAAGCATCACATGATATATTCAAATAATATACATTTATGTACCTAATATTATTTTATGATAATTGTATCGTGTCGTCATGTCCTTGATTATATCAACGTAATACATAATATCTTCGAAATTCCTTTTTAGTTAAGTGTAGCGTATGTAACGTGAATAATATAATCTCAGGTCTAATATCTCAAATATTGGTTTCAAATTTCTTAATATTAAGATCACCGGTGTTCGAATCTTCACCCAAAAAGGAAACGTATAACATAGTATACACATGTGTACCAGTACCAGTACCAGTAGCGGTGGTATGCGATAGCCAAAGACTTAAAACAAAGAATATTATATTTTTATCGTAAAACCCAAGAAACGTTTTTAAAATAACGTCACACAACAATATATCAACTAGCTTTTGTCCTTGACGTCGTACCCGCAAATCTGTTTTTCCCATTAATGAATCCTATGTCCGTCTCTTGGTTCTAAGCTACCTCACCACCAATATTAATTCAAGTTGATTAAGCCATTCTTGAGTTACTTATAAAAAGTGTAACAAACACGACTTTCTTTAAAAAAAATAGATTTATACTACCTTTATACACACGATCATATAATTGAACATCGCAATAGTAAACCAAATTAACTTCAAGTCAACAATCATGTTTATTAGTTCAGCAAAATGGAATACTAGTATAGTTAATTATGTAAGATAACAAGGTATTTCATTCTGGTAGCGAGTAACTGATATTCGCTGAGAAATGGTGATAATGTTACCTACAATAAATACGTTAGTAGTCGTGTGTTCTCATGTAAACAGAAGATATGTTACACAACGTTGCGGCGTAACTTTACACACAAACATTATTATTTTAGGGAACAAATAGTATCTGTTATAGGTTAATATGGAGTTACGATTTGTTGATACCTCATAAATTACCATATTTCTGTAAAGATCATACAAATATAGGGATATACGATCCTTTTCAGTCCAAGTTTAACAATAGTATCCTATTTGTTAGTAGATTTGGTAACTACAGTTATATATATTTATTTAAATCTATATATTTCTATATCTACTATATATATGTTGATACTCTCTAGTAGCCAATTTTACAGACATATTAACTGGCTGGTCGTTAGAGATCACATCGACCGAAGTAGTTAAATAAAGGGGTTGTTTCATCATACTCTCGTTCACAAGTAAGTTATGGTGTTTATAAAGGCATTAGGCGATTCTATCGTAAGCATCTTACATAATTCTAGGTTCCGTGTGTTGGTTGAATAAAACTGCGAGTTTCAGAACAGATTGGATTAACGATTCATTCACAGTACTATTGAGAATAGATGATATAGAGGTAGTATGAAACGATTCAACTTTTGACAGGACTTTTACTTCTTACAAGACTGTAATTGTTAGCTAGGAAAAGTGAACTGTATACCTCTACCTAGACCTACCCATTGAGTTAATAATATACCAAATGCTAGGCTACGTTTCGACCTAGGTTCATTAATTTTCTCTCCTTGTATTTATTTAGGGATTCGGCCAATAAGTAACTGATATGATTGTATTGTTAACAGGTAACGCTGTCGATATCAATATTGATTAGTCTCCACGTGTTTTTCCTGCTGGTTGTCGAGATCATACCTCCTACGTCACTGGTCGTACCGCTATTGGGAAAGTATCTTATATTCGCCATGATTCTCGTTTCAATAAGGTAAGAACTACGAATATTACGTAAGATTAACTTGATATATAGAAATATATTAAAGTAATTAATTAAATATTTCTCCACAAGGGAGCGCTACTGTTGGGTGAAACCACTGACAAATAAACATAGTAGAGGTTTTAATTCAAATATGCAAATGCTCTAGCTACTTATAATACTCAGCACTCAGCACTGTAAGAAATTCTACATTGGATTTAATACTAAGCTTGCTTTAAGAGAAATTTGTGTAAGAAGTACATGTTCAGATGGAGGACGAACAAGTGAATCGTTAGAGACCACAAAATGGCAAAACCAAGTAGAAGGGTGTTCCCGAAAACAGAACCCTGAGGGACGTCCTTACTTACTTTACCTGAGAGACCTTAATCTGTAGTTTTTGTAACGACCAGTTGGGGACTCTATTAGGCTCGCACTCGTACTCAACCGACGCGACGCCCATTAAAAAAATGTTTTCTGCCATCTTATACGGCAAAAAACCTATATATATATATATTTGTTTGACATAAGAGGAATTTACTGCACGCGTTCCCATCTACGGTGACTATGAGAATAGTTACCTCCTTTATAATGTCTATTATTTGACGATGTGCTCGTTTTATGTGCTCCGAAGACTAAATTAATATTTTACGACGACATTCCTTGTAAACAGCAATGGCGTCGTTATCTTGACGTGTTTGAACTATCGCTTTTAGGCGCTTAATTACAATTCATAAGCATATTTAAGATATTTGAGATTGTGTACAGAGAATGAAATTAAAGTAAAGAAAGTTTCAGTAAAGCCGGCAGAGGCGCTGCGAAAGTAAAGAACATAAAAAATCAAATAAATGTTTAAGTTCGACGTGACGGAAATTTAGTTCAGTGTCAGCCATAAACACACATTTATGACTATAATCTGAATTATCATCTTTCAGAGTTGAACTTACACATATCTGAAATGTGCACTTTGACAGTTAAGTCGCAAGGTTACGACCCAAAGCGATCGTTTCGAAGTTGTGGAGCTTTAAAGATGGAACAAGTAGTAAACTAGCATTGAGTGAGACGAGCTACCTTGTGATTAAAAATAAATAAACAAGAGAGCTGCTATCGTTCCTGTTTATATGGCGAATGATATAATTTCACAAATTGAGAGAGAGGGGCGTCTGATTTAATTCCCGGCGCCCCTTTGATCCTTGTCGCATAGGATGGCACAACTAATATACGCACGTATAGCCTTGTGTTTCAGCTTATTACACGTTAACAGTAATCCCTGCTTACAAGTATTGCTCTTTACTTTGTTTTCGTAACATTATAAGGGACTGTTTAGTAAACATTCTCTTTATTTGTGTGTGTCCCTGTATCAAAGTATTAAGAAATTAAAACATTTGCCATTTTAGTAAAACAACAAGAAAGTCAGATTACGCATTTGATGAGCACCAATAATAAATAAGATTTACAAATTACGTAATTATTAAAATCAAAGCGTTTGCTTCTACGAAAACCAAATCAAACCGCCATAATAATAATAGGTTTTAGACAAAAGTAATTTATTTAAATATGGCTCGGTTGGGGCGTGCTAGCTACCACATTTCCATATAAATTAAAAGCTGGTTTCTAAACAAGATATTTGATTGCGTGCTCTAGCTTCAAGAAAATTAAATTTTTAACACCACAACCTCCGACTTTGAGTTAGGATAATTGGGAACCTTTGCACTGGTGCCGCTACAAACTTGTTGAAAGTCTAGCTTGGATCCATGTTTGCAAATGTAAAACCAAACTTGACTAGTTATGTAACTACGAATTATGAAATGAGATTGTATGCGACGCGGCCAAGCAATTAAAAGTTTTACTGTGATTTACATTAACTGATACCGCCGCCCAACTGTCACACTTATATTTAGTAATAATTCCAATCTGTGCTTACTACTACGGATATAATACACTTAAAATAAAATATGCTGTATCCATGTTCCAAGCGAACATCTCCCAATAGTATCATATGTGGTTTACATACTATTAGCAAGTTAACTATTCATAAATAAGCCGGCAACGCGGCCGCACCACGAACTACCTGATTCAGTGGGGAACTAACAAATTACCCGCTATTATTTGTAGCACCATTGTGTAAATCTATGAATAAAACTATTACCATTAATGTTTTAGCTGTATTTGTGCAAGAATTGCTATTGATCCTTTGAATACACGAACTGGCAACTCCTTTAGTTTGTCTGCCTACAGCAGTGATTCTATTGTTGTGGGAGTTCTATCTACGTAAAATGTATTGATATTCAAACGAGTCTGATACATAAATCAAGGATATTACAATGAATAATTATACTCTACGATAAAAGAAAGTTATAGCGCCAATCCACACAGTTACGGTCAAATTGTTATCGCTTTTACTAGCCAATAGAAGCTATTAATTGTAACCGTGTCCTTGGGTAATAAAACCTTTTATTGCTTTTAGTATATGTGTGACGGTAGTGGTCCTAAACGTCCACTTCCGTTCGCCGCAGACACACCGGATGGCGCCTTGGGTGAAACGAGTTTTCATACATATTCTACCACGACTGCTGTTTATGAAACGGCCGCAGTACAAGTTTGACACAACGAGGTGAGTTCAAACTCTTGCTGTATCTTAAACTTTATATCGCAATCTTTGCAATTAAAATCAAATTAAGTCGGAGTTGAGCCGTTCTAATCAGCATCTCCGGCGAACATTCCTGAGTCCGGTCGCTCGGCCGAGAGAACTCGTAAATCCGACCGCGGATCAGTAACAACTCTAAATTAATTATAAGTTTTAAATACTCACTGGCCGCGGTGGCAAGAGCCAGGGCGTTTATTTCTCGCTTTCAACTTTGCTACCTCCGAAGGTTAAAGATAAAAAAGTGACGGAACAAATTGAGAAGATTGCGCATCGCAGTTTTTAAAAGCGTGATAGAGGCGACAAATTTGCTTGCCGCGCGCCTTTTTTATGACTTCACATCGCGGCGAGGTTTTCCAGCGAGGTAATGTTTTAATTTTACGGAGAGACATGACGCGTTTTTATGAAAATTGTTTGCATCGATGTGCAAAATACACGCACACAGTCACCACTTTTGCGCGTCTATGTAGGTATGTAAATATATTTAACATTACCCGTTGATGGTAACTGAACTATTGATCGACAGCGCACAGTTATTATTAACCACAACAGTTTACCACTCGTAGCCTGTCGCTGGTTACACTAGAATGCCTGAATAGCTGCTATTTGGTATCTATGTCTGTCAGTTAACTGGCTCGCGAATAATTCGTGCGGATAGCTAGTCGGTATCGTAATTCACTTACGAATGGATGTCTGTTAACTAGACTAGAGATATAATGGGCGCCTCGGTGTGGCTGCCGACTTACCGAACATTACGTAAATGGATCTCCGACTCTCCCACAGATCGCATGCTAAAGATCTTTTGGGAATGTTGGAAGCCTCCTTAATCTATCAACGATTGTAGCTCCATCATTCTGAGGGTATTGTTTCTATTGTACCTAATGTATCTCAGTTTACATCTTTTGTAAAGCAATACTAACGTATACGTGAGTGATGATACGTTCGGTGATAATGAAGTGAGAAAGCAACATCTAATCCACACATCGTAAATTGGTGATCATAAGTTTCCTAAATAAATACGTTTGTATTTTCATATTTCCTGAAGCAAAGCATTAATACGTGTTTACATTGGAACTGGGTCACATACAGATTGTTTAGGACGTATTGACCGGTCCCAGCTAACCAAAGTTCATCACTTACAAAATAAACAAAAACGTGTTCGATTCATGCCTATTGTTTATTTTTATTCGCGCATGACAATAAAGGGGAACAAAGGCTTGATTTTACACGAGTGCACTTCAGAACTTTTTTCATTTTTATTGTTTACAATGTACGGTAAACACCATGGTTCAATCGTAGCCCGTATACTCGCGTGTAGTCCTGGGCTACGACTGCTACGGCAGCGGCTACGGCGTAGCACAAATATAATGACTGTAATAATAATGTATTGTTTGCCATTATTATTGAAATGTTTGTTTGTTGTAGTAAATACAACAAAAAACGAAAAATAAAAGACAAATAGAATAGAAGACAAATCAATATTGGTAAACATAATATTCTACTATCGTGATCAAAGTTTGAAATGCGCCCAGGAACTTAAGATTAACATCTTAAAACAGATCAAATCTCGAGTTACTCAGTCAATACTCAGTTTTCTATGACGTGCTTTTATAGAAGAGCAAATACATATTGAAACTCCTTTAAACTCAATAGTTTTACAACAACTACAGTATTAATATCCATATCCATCGGTAGCCCGTAATCCATTTATAGCACAGTGTAGGTATTAATGAGGTTACAAGTACAGAGAGGATTTTGTGCAGCGTTCAGCCGTGAAACCTTTTCAGATAACTAGGCTATGAAATTGCTGATAATTGGAAGTAGTGTGGCATAATATACGATCAAAATTCTAAAGTCACGTGGCGTGTAGTGCATCTAGTTGTATGATTAGTGAAATACAACGCATAAGGTTTAATTTTCCAATTCAGTTCGATGTTCGTTGTTAGGCACAGACTTTTCACTACCGTACCTACCTTTCTTGGAAAAACTAGCACGATATGGCAATATATTTTATTAGGTTTCCACCTGCGACTTCACCCACGTGAAATGTAGAAGCTTCTTTAGAGTCCTGTAGGAATATACTGGGATAATATAAGTTACTGTTTGAAAAGTAAACTGTCTATTGGTGAAAAAATGTTCAAAATCGATTAAGGTATATGGTAGCTTATCAGATACAAATAAATATAGATAATTATATATGTAGTTAATTGTAATGATATAGTAATAATTATAGATGTAGTTAATTGTAGTGTGTAACTAGGTTCCCTCTTTACTTTATAAAAATTGACTCGATGTATTATAATTAAAAAACTGTATGACAAGGGCACGGACCTAGAGTCCGTGGAGAAATAATCTATAATATTAAAAAAAAAGATACAAATAAACGTTTTCCTATTTATTTAATAGTAGAAATACACGACAAAAACACAGACATACATTCTGCATCCAATAAATTTTCATACTATTAAGAGTTTTGTTACATACCTTCTATTATGAATAGCCTTTGTTTACTCAACGGCTACTTCCTTCGGGAACTGATGGTCAATCAAATGATAGTATCGGGTACCACAGATCGCGCTACACGGCGTGTGGTGTGGTGGTGCGGTGTGGAGGGGCAGCTCGGCCTCTCTACCCGTACCGGCTGGCAGCGGCTGACGACGACTGCTGCGCACCCGGTGCATGGCCGCCGCCTGCTGCACCACCACCCAGACCTCTCACGAGAACACCAAGCAAAGAAGATCTCACACACACCACCTACCTTAACTCAGGGTAAGTCTATTTTACACGGATATTATGGATGTTTCTACTTTCTAACGAAATGTCAAAATCGAACATATTTTATACTAAGGCACACAAGTTTCATCATCAATGAAAGTGATTATTTTTGTTGCAACAATTTATTTTTATCTAAGAAAGTATCCCAATAACATGGCTGTGGACAAATAAAGGAGCAGCAGACTACATAAACGCTGTATTTCAGGATGGGTGATAGCAACAGGTTTGGTGGTAGCTGTCTGGTGCATGGCTCGAGTGATGGCGGTGCGGGACTAGGTAGCGGGTTAGCAGGCGGCTTGGCCGGTGGGCTGGCCAACGCTGAAGACGAGACCCTCAGTCCCGTCCCCGACCCGCCGCCTGGCTTCAGTCACTCCGCCTGCCCACCAGAAGTACACAAAACATGCTTCTGTGTCCGATTTATTGCAGAGCACACTAGAATGCTCGAGGACTCTACTAAGGTACGTCTTAAACAATACCACGTTGCTTATTATCAATAACAAAGGTAATAAAAACATTTTTACTTTATATATTATAGTGTATTATATTATCATGTCTATAAAAGAACACTGAAGACGACATGACTCATAAAAGAAAACTAACACAATTGATAAAAATAATAGCCGTTTATGCCCTACATATTCTTCATATTGTTTACTTAACAGGCACTCAATATAAATGCCTTCGCCATAGCTATGCATCGCTTACAAAACGACTATGCATCGACGGCGCTACGACGCTATAATATTTAATTTTATTACAGACACGGTTATCGGTTATTCAGTCAAATGTTACTTTGTTACTTGCACCACATTATCTTAACTGCAACAGTAGACTATAAAGAAAGCAATAACCACGTAATAATACTCACTTTATATACAATGTCTAAGATTATTATTTACTGTCTGCGGAAAACTTACAGTTCAATTAAACACCTTAATAATTTATATAACATTGACAGGTTAAAGAAGATTGGAAATACGTAGCGATGGTGCTGGACCGTTTGTTCTTGTGGATCTTTACGCTGGCTGTGCTAGTGGGCACCGCCGGTATCATCCTGCAGGCGCCAACGTTGTACGACGACCGAGTGCCCATTGACAAGCACTTCAACCAATACGCGACCTCGTCGCTCGTGCGGTGTCCACCACCCTCGTAACTTGATAATATTGACTACATTTATGTTTACACAAGTATGACGTCACAGTACCAACTTTTATTTACAGACAAATACTGTTGCTACAACATTTACTACTGAAAACGTTTCATACTGCAATGTTTGCTGTTCAAAATTGTAATCTGAGACTGGGACACATTCATTTTTATTAAAACTCTGACGCCATACTCGTGTAGCCATGTCTATTTGTATGGTTATTCAATAATTATACAAACAACGGTGTCTTCAAAGGTGCAGTGATTTGTTTGAGAAAATCTGTTTAGGTTATAATCTAAAAAAACTTAAAACCTTGTACTGGCCTTATGACTCAAGGTCTACTTATTTGAACGTTTGTAACGATTTTCATGAACAAGTTGCAGTAACACCGTATGACATTATTCTTATTGCGTCGCCGTTGTATTTCAAGACCCAACGCACACCCGTCCCACCCGGAACGTGTTCTATTCCACGACACGTAAATATATCTATCTAATAAAGTTTTCGTAATAATAATCATAAGAACTTTCATATCTTTTCATATTATCTATTCTTGCACTCATTGTTAGTATAAACATTGATTCACTCATTCTGAGCTCCCACGCAAGAGTTTGAGCATTGTTTGGCTCATACAACGTCTTATGTGACAATAAATTGTAGCAATTGTTTCCTGTAGTTATCTTATTGCAGCGCAGTATCAAAATCCAAAGCGACTTACGATTCACAAAATCATCTAAGAATACACTAGTCTCTATGAATAGATATAAGATAATGAACGAAACACCACCATGTTAAATGTATCTGTGTTCAAAAACGTCATTTAGTAAATTAGCATACATAATATCGTAGCTAGCACCTTTAACTAAGCTCATCCAAAGCGATAGACCAACAAGTCTGCTTATTACACCTCGCTTATTCATATAGGAATTTAATAACTGATTTTCATACAAATTGTCAACATTAGCTCTAATGTAGACATCGAAATCGAATGTAATTTTAAGGAATTCATAGGCACTAGACGTAGTGTAAGTCTGTCTTAAAATCATGCTGAAACTATCGACTAGAGATTCTTCCAACTCTTCTATTTCTAAGAACATTACTATAATTTGTCGTAGAATAGAACATGTACTTTAAAATAAGAATATCGATTTTATTATTTATAAGAAAAAAATAGTATTTGAAACCTATAAAATACAGTAACGTATTTATAAAACGATTTATTGTTGGCTTTGAAAGAACGAAATTCAGTTAATAGACTCGATGAATATCGTAAAGATTTACAAGACCAGAGTAATGAAAAATATCCTTATGATAATAAGTACAACATAATGATTTACTTTAAGAAGATAATTGCTCAATTTTAAAGTCCGTACCTTCTTTAGTTTTGCTACTGTTTATTAATACGCCGAGTGATTATGAACTGACCGTAACCTAATATGAACTAAGTAGGTACTTATTGATTGATTTATGTTATACTCCTACATTCGCTTAATCAAAATGGTGTCACTATATTACGTTGGTATATAATTTACATAATATTCCAAAAAATGTACTATGTTACATATTATAGTGTAGAATCACTGTAAATAAAATTAATGTAATTATATTTGAGGCACGCGTTTGAGCAATGGCCGTGCCAAACTTTTGGACAGGAATTGAGATTATTTATTAATTGAAAATGAACAATACACAATAAATAAATTACCAAAAATTAAAAAAGAGTGTACAAAAATAAATAACGAATATAAAACATTAAGAGTAAAAGCTTATTGTACTGAGATGAAAAAAAATCATGACAAACGTGATTATGATAGTGGTCATAGTCATGTCATATTATAATTAAATATCGTAAATTGTAAATTCACTATATGTATAATAAAATGCGAGGCTATAGTCGAATATTAAAATGCTGCATAGTCATAGACTATTACATTATATCACAAGACTATTAAAATACTAAACATCAATTTAATTGTTCCACGTAAACGCAGTCAAGCGTTCTACGTCTTATCACCAACAATCATATTTTATTGGCGTTTAAATATTCGGCTATATGTACAATATTATTGTCAATAAACGAATAGAAAGTACTGGTGCATAGTATAGTACCCCATAAAAGTAATCTAATCTAATAAATAAGATATATACCTAATACACATTGACTGCTCGCAGTAGAGTAGCGCAGCTCAATTGTAGAAATATAAGTTTGTAAGTACTTATTTATATTGTTAATAAAATCGTTATATATAGTCTTCTCTTTTCTTTCCGTCGACAATTTATTACTAAACACATGTTTATTGTGATAGGGGCCTATAAGGACGCTCTTAAAGTAATACTAACTTATGTTATTGCGCGCTATGACGCGTACAACAGCTGCCGATGAGGTCATACCAGCAAAGACAAGATCGGGTTCTTGGACTTCTACACGAACGCATCGTCGTAACGAGTAAACCGTCACATGCAATCACGCATTCTGATATATATTAAAAACTAAAACAATAATAACAATTTCATTTCCCTGAATTTATTGGAACGGGGCCACTAAATAAACCGACTGTACCTTTTCTTTTATTTTTGAGGATATTATTAATTATGCGCTCTGAGCGTTTTCTCCCCTTCATGAGTTGACGGGCTTCCTTTATGGCACTTTGACGCACCTCTTTATTTGTTTGAGATGGAAAGAAAGCGTCGTAGTCAAACGATGCGTTTTTATTGTCTACGGGTCCAGCTCTGAGTGTTGGAATCTGTGTAGTCAAAGTTGTGCCTGTCGTCTCAGTCGTTGTAACTATTGCAAGTTCTGGAGTAGCGGTAGGTGGACTATTTTCAACAGCCATGATATTTGTTGTATTTTCATTTATGGATCTCTTTAAAGTTTCTTCAAAATCTTTACAACACGGTGTTATTCCCTCTTCAGGTGTGTTTGTAATATAAGTGCTGTTTTGAGTTAAAACAGTATAATCGTTAATGCTTGTAGTAGTTGGTATAGATTCTTTATCATTGGGAATCGCACTGGCTACTTCAGATGGAATAGTTTCACTAGCAGATGTATTATCTGTTGTAGACATGTCAGGAGTCACTGTGTCATTCAGTTCTGTAGTAACAGTAGGGTTATCGTCATTAACTGCTGTAATTATTTCTTCAAGAGGTATATTTTCACTGGCAGGGGAACTGTCTGTCATTGATAGGGTAGGAGGCACTTCATCATTTGTGTCTGTAGTAAATGTAGGACTGTCTCCATCATCCACTGTAGTCAATTCTTCAAGAGGAATATTCTCATTATTAGCAGGTGAACTTTCTATCATTGATTGGCTAGGAATCACTGATTCGTTTGGATCTGTATTAACTGTGGGATTATCGCCGTTGTTAGCTGTAGTAAATTCTTCAACTGGAATAGTTTCACTAACCGGTAAACTATCTGTTATTGGTAAGAGAATAGTCACTTTATCGACCGGTTCTGTAGTAATTGTAGGACTATCTTCGTTACCTACTGTTGTTAATTCTAAAAGTGGAATATTTTCACTAGCCGGTATAACTGGCAAGTTTGTAGTTACTGTATCGTTTGATTCTGTAATAATTGTAGGATTGTCTTTATAATCAGGTGTAGTTGGTTCTGCAGGTATACTACTTTCACTAACATGTGCACTATCTGTGTCTGACGTGTTAGGAGGCAGTGGATTGTACGGTTCTGTAGTAACTGTAGGATTGTCTTCATTAGCAGGTGAATTATATGTGATTGATAAGTTTGAAGTCACTTTCTCATTCGGTTCTGTAGTATTGTTTGTATTTTCTGGTGTGGTGAATAGTTGAGGTGGAATAGTTTCACTAGCTGGCATACTATCTTTAATCGGTAGGTCGGGAGATATAGTGTCAATTGGTTTTGCAGTAACTGTAATATTCTCTTCATTACGTACTGTAGTTATTTCCTCAGGTTGAATTGGTTTATTTGCAGGAATAAAGCTATCATAAAGAAATAAAGGTATGGAAATTAAAGGCGTGCCGGTAAAATTATTTTTTGGAGTTTTCATGACAATTGGTTCAATATTTGCTGGAGTTACAGTCTCGTTTGAAGGTAAAGTCTCGGCTAAGGGATGTACTTTTTCTGTGGACGTTGTACCCGTATTAATACTTGAATCTGTTTCTGTATTATTAGTATTACCACTTACAGTAATACCTTGTGTAGTTGAAGTTAAATCAACATCAGTTTTTTGTATTTGTCTTACAATTACGGTGTCATTATTAACCATATAATCTGAAGATTTATTTGTCATGGACTCCGTGCTAACGTATACATTATCAATTTTTATAGTTTCAATAGATTTATTTTCATTTATAATTTTTGTTTTGTTCGTGGTTGGGCTAGCTGTAGTAAAAGGATCAGTGTCTGGATGAACACGTTTTGTCAGTTCGACTAGCTCAGTAGTATCATTAGAGGACTTGCCGAAATTAAGCGGTTGGTAATTACTACCGCCGTCATTAATAACCCTGGCTTGAGTTATGTTCTCACTAGATAGTTCTCGTGAATTTATAGATCTGGCAGTGGAACCTTTAGGTATGTCCATGTTGAATATAACAGGTTGAGTATGATTACATTCGGGTTCTATTTTAGGACGATCGATAATTTTTTCATGTTCCTGTACTTCTCTCTTTAGTTCTCCCAAATTTCGAGACTCCTCTTCTTCCCATTCTTTAATTTCTTGTTTTAAAAGTGCAATGCTGTTATCTTTAGATTTGTTTTGTAAATCTCCGACAATCTCATCGAGCTTAACATTCTCGGTTGCCTCAGTAGCTTCAATAGCGTCTATTTTGTCTACAACCTCAGACATTACATGGTGAATCTCCTTAATTTCTGAAGTGTTTCTAGTATTAAGTTCTTTATTTTCTAATACTTTGATTTCATGTAAAATTGTCTCAACAGACGATTCTGTATCATTATGTTTGATGTTTTTGAAGTCTTTACCAACTTCTTCAGAAAGTTTCTTTATTTCTTTTTTTAATAAATCGTTAACATCAGCTAGTTGTTCAGATTCTTTAACTAGTAATTTTTCAAGCTCTATAATTTTTTCATCAGGTTTGTAGTCATCCAGAACCTTTGACATTGTCTTGTTAATTTTCTCATCTATTTCCTTTTCCAGGTTTTCTTCATTAACCGGTTGAACACCTTCGACGCTTGTAGTATTTCCATCTGTTGAAGTAGAGTTCATTCCATTTCCACATTTCTCATAGTAACGTCTAGTGGCATCTTCGCTTAAAGAAAGCATTTGTTGTACAGCCAAAATCGTGCAATCTACGGTTTCTTTAACATCGGTTACTACGTCTGTTAGTAGTTTTCCAAAACCATTTTGAACTGACTGTACCGCCCCGTGAAATAAATCGAAAAATGATGTCGATGAGACCTGGAATTAATCACAGATTTTAGTATGTTTACCCACTTACTTGTACATTTATAAACGTGAGTCAGATGTTTTGCCACTTAACACACACCTGCACGATTAGCATAGTTGTAATAAGCACTGATATTTTCATGATGCACTGATTTTAGCACTTGGAGTATCTAACGTATCACCACCGACCGTTTTCAGACACGCAGAAAGACTCGTCAACTCGGAATGTTCGTCCTTTTAATTCTTCACACAATTAGTTTTACGTCTATTTGTTCAATCAAGACACGCGCTATTGTGATGTTCATACACCTGGGCTAATATTTAACGTCACACCATTATAACCAATTTAATTGTTTGAAATAAGTCAAAGTAGCCGTGTGGTATCCAAAATATATAATATATCCGTGTGGTAGTAAAATTTCCATGTAATAAATGAAAGTTCGTTTATTTTTGAGTAGCTTAATACAATATATCACAAAAGTAATTCTTAACTTCATAAATAACACTTATAAAGTGTTCAGCGTATTTTATGATATCGGTCAATCAACTATTATTTCGACCATTTTATATATTAGAAACATTTTTAGCTAACCTAGAGATTGAAAAAGCTACGTAAATAATATTTATTGTCAGATATTTATCATGAGTCCTGACGATTTTATATAATTTATTCGATTGCACACTTGTTGGTGAATTAAACATTGAAAGTTTAAAGCTTACGTAAATTGAGTTTTTACTATAAAGTAGCTGATATATTTAATTTAAAATTTTATAAATACATTTTTTAAACCGGAGTTATACATATTGTAATATAAAATACATTTGATTTACCGAAAATTGTTAGAATGCAGATTTAAAATGCACGTTTTTAAAAGCATTGTTGGACACAAACTAGCACATTTTACGACATATACACAATGAATAGGTTACGTTTAGCAAATAGACGGACTTTTAAACAATGTGAGTACAATTATTTCACACTATAATTTAAACAATGAATTATTTATTGCCAGCTGCGCTTGATTTACAATCGCCAATTCGTGAAACCTAAGAATTTGGCACTTTTTGAGCAATGTTTTCAGATTCTGTCCATCATAAGATTTATAATAAATGGAACACTTTGATACCCTTTTTACAATGTAAAGTGAGCTACGATTTGAAAAATATATAATAATGTAACAAAAAATATGGGTTTAATCTTATTTTTCACGATTATAACATAAAAGTGTGATACATCAATACAGTTTACAAAGTAAATAAATTAATATTTAAAAATAGTAAAAATACTGTAATATCAAAACAAAATATAGACTTTTATAAATAAATATTAAAAGGTTATTCTAAAGCGTATACACGTTAACGAGTGGAATGTGTTTGAGTATTTTCCACGTACGTTAAACAATGAACAAGAAACCCGAAATCTGAACAACTAAAAGCAAAATATTCCTTAAGTTCATAAATATATAGGTTTAAAGAGTACTATGATCGTACAATCCGTTGCGATACCAAACTAATACGACTAAAATACCGTAAATACACCTCGTGTATGTTGAAGCACCAGCTCCCGGTATAAACACATTATGGCCGGAACTGTCAACAGACAAGAGGTTAATTTTTATATTATTTCGTCCTATTCCTGGTCGTACGACCATAGCGTCCAAATATAAGGCTCTTACTTTATACCACCGCAATTCAAAATATATATCACTATTTATTGTGAATTTTACGCCTTTGCAAATATAACAAGTGCATTGTTTGATGCGACACTCATATGAGAAGCATACACAATGTATGTGGCCTTCAAAACATTCCTATTTCTTATAAGTTGGTGCAACATCGTGCTGTTTAAATGTATGCATACAACTGTTATTGTTAGTTCAGCTGAAGAACTAGTAATCAGATTCGATAAATAGTAATGATTAATTATTCAAGAAATTATTATAAGTTTTCTAATATTCAATTCATTACAAGACATTAAAACTTTATAAAAATTGTCGCAAGTTCAAAACACAATGTAAAACTAGTATAATTTTAAATAATGACAAACATAGGCCCTAACGCTGTGTTTCAATATGATATGTAATGATGTATGAGTGTAATATACCTACGTATTCTATTAATTTAGTTTGAACACGTCTAATACAACCATAATTATAATACAAAACTAACGACCCTCGACTTCCATTACGATTATATGGCATTTAATATAAAACATCCCAACTCCCTCGCACACAGCACGCCCCGCAGTCGCGTGGTCATCACGACACGATTACTAATTGTTCTTAATCATTAATTCATTAAAACTAAATACTGTTTTACATAAATTGCTATACAAAATGTGTTATTTCTATATTCATAATTAATCGTGATATAACAGTTTTCATTCCGCGATTAGGCAACTTGTAGCCAAAATACAAATCTAAAATATGAATAAAATTCATGAAAAACATTCATAAGTATAAGTCAAAGAGATTGAATATAAAAAAATAACATACGCATAAGATAATTATATTAATAAACATGATTATTAGATTATATAAATATTTCCATTGAACAATAATTTATTATACCTACTAGTCAGAATTTGCGGGATGAAAACCATTGAATCTTTGGAAACTGAACACGCGTGGATTGGAAGCATAAGGAAAATTGGTTACTATTGTTTACTAAAGTAACATTCTGCGATGTTAGTTAAATATTGCTAAACAGTTTTGAAGATTTGATTTCTAGAATACTTACAATCTAAGGTTCATATTATTATATAAGAAGTAAACGAGATCACTCCCAAACTTCACTTACAGGTAATGTTCACATCTACACAACTACGGAACATCGTAAAAGATCATTATCAAAATATGTTCAGAGACATAAAACATTTCATAAAATAAATTTCAATTTTGTCATAAAGTTAACACATTGGTAGGGTTACTCCAACTATTTATTGCTACGTACAGTGAGGTTTAGTTGTCTATGAACTTCACCCACTTTGTGTGTCAAGGTTGCGTCGTGTCATTTTCTTCGTCACTTGGTGTTAGGGGTGCCGAAGGGAGTTCGTCCCTTTTAGGGGGTTCGGGTACCTCGAGAGGTTCTTCGTCCCTTTTCGGCGGTAGGGGTGCAATGTTCAGTTTGGGTAGCGGAGGTATCGGTGGGGTGGGGGACACGTCCCGCGGCGGCGGCGGGGGCTGCGCGGCGGTGAACCCGTTGTTCATCCGTTGGTAGTGCGGCTTCCATTTATTCGCAGGTGGCGTGTAGTTGAGACGATCATACTCCATTTCTGAAAACAACACATGGTTATCAAAATATTACAATTTAAAAGCTGAAAAAAATAACAAAGATGGAGGCGTTGTTTAAGTGTTTAGAAATGTATCAATAAAATTGAGTATAAAGATGATTCATGTTTATTATTGACCAACCGTGTAGAACAAAGATTTAAAAACGTTATATTTACTCACCATATCCTTCCTTATGTTTGATTTCGTCATAAACATGGTCCAATTTATTGTCATCTTCTTCGTACTGGTACAAATTAGGATTATTGGCGTCAGCATCCTTGTTCTTCATAGAGGACAGCGGGTCGTAAGCTTGAAAGAAAAATTATCGTAGGTTATGCACCTATTAAATATTCTATGTTATTACACGAAACTATCAAGTTTATTACGATCATATTGATTGTAATAAACATGATAGTTTCGTGTTTTTGTTCTTTAATGAAAAAATAACTAGTTCAGTAGACACAGTTGTTATTTAATATTCATATTTGCAATACAGGTCTCTGCCCTCTAAACTGAAGTGATTTTACCGTTACTGTGACAAGCAAGAACATAAACGATGTTAATGAAAACAGAAGAGTTATAAAGCTAAAGAGTTTGTTTGTTTGATTTCAAAATGAATAACAAAAAGAACCATATTTCAACAGCACACAAACTGGCTACTCTACTTATTATGCATAACATTGCAGAGACATTGTTAAGGTTTTGACTGCCAATAACAAAGTGTTGAAGGCAAATCCCCCGCTAACGTCACCGTTGACCCAATGGCGTTTAATGTGTTAAAGAAATTAACTCAATTCGATGTGTTTAATGTGTTAAAGAAATTGACTGCCTCGTTGGCCGAGTGGGCGCAAGTGCGACTACCGGGCAAGGGGTCTCGGGTTCGATTCCCGGGTCGGGCAAAGTATTATTGGGTTTTTAAAAAAAATCTCAGTAGTAGCACGGAGTCTGGAATTGGGCCCGGCAATAGGCTCACCCCCTATTACATGGGACTCATAACATAATTAGTGAAAAGTGGGTGTTTCTTCTTTGTGTTTAGAAATTAACTCGTTTATTTTATGTTACAAAAAGTAGTTTGTAAGTTACTTACTGTCATTAGAACCAGATGCTTTCATTCTGAGTTTCTCCATAGTGGTGTTGTTTAGTTTGCTTCCCGGGTTCAGGTTGTTCAGGAAATGAGTTGCGTTGTTCAGCAGAGTTGTTGAGTCATCGCTGCGTGTGGACCCTTGGTACGAGTACACTGGGTTATCGAAATGCTGTTGTTCTGTTGAAAAAATATATTTTACTTAAACATTAACTTTATAAAATACATTATACATTCCGTAAACCTTCTTTTACTATTCCCAGACTCGCCCAAAGATTTGTTAACTGAGCCAAAAGGAGGGTTTGCTGGATAGTTCAGCAACTAATTGGCCCTCGAAGAAAACCTTTATATATAACCAGGACATGTAGTTCCAACCAAATAAGTGGCTTATTGTTTTAGAACAGATTGCCATGGCGCAGAAAGAAAAAAAAAACTATTACTACCAATGAGAACTATAAATTTTATGCTTACTGGATGGCGCTAAAGTGGTATTAGGCTAAATATCTTATGGCCGATTTTTCAATCATCAGATTAACTGTCGAATAAAATTGACATGACAGTTTTTAGTATGGAAGAATTGTCAAACATTCAAAATTATTCCGCAGTAACAATTTATCTGGCGATGGTCGGTCCATGATCGTCCAATCACTATATCTATCTTACGGCCAATGACTAGACATGTGCAACTACTCTGTTGGACAAACAATCTTAGTTACCATCTCAGTTCCGAAATTCAGACTTTATAAACTTTTAACATAACAGTATTACAAAAACTTACCAGGCTGTGAATTAGGATCCGCCGTGTAGTGGACGTGCGCGATTTCCCGTTTGAGGTTACGGACTCGCTTGCGATAGTACAACAGTACTAGTATTGCTATAGCGGCACAGATGAACGCCAGTATTATCATCACCACTGTTAGGCCCGACGTTGAGGATTCTCCTAGGAAAATGAATTACTATAATTACCAGTATTTTAAAATATAAGCGAATTTGAAGGTGTGGTTAATCAATGCATCATAACTTACTCTAACAAAAATCCAGTATTAGAACTTTAAACACAAAGCAATATAAATAATTATGTTTTGCAAGTAATATTCCGGTTCAAAAAAGGCTTAATTATATTCTTCTGTGGTCGGCAACGTACTGGTAATGTCAGACGTCTCGTGAACATTGTTGCTATCGTAGTAAGTAGTATACAAAAAACTTTCTTAGTTTAATCCATTGTAAGGCCTGTGAAACTTACTGCTAGTATCAATTCCAGTGACAATGGCACCACTGGCATGTATGTCGCATTTCTCTCCAATGAAGCCGCGGTGACAGGTACACCCGATCACTGGGTCACACACCCAGTTCCCTTCTGAAGAACAGTTGCAAGGCTCCATGCAATGGTCACCGAAGTATCCCTCTGGACAAACTGTGGAAGTTAAAGTTTATATTTTATTTTTTATTTATGGACACCGTAGGAGTAAATAAATATATCAACTTAAAATAATATTTTAACGAGACATAGTAAAACAGCACAAGAAGACTGCACGCTATATCACTGCGATATGGTGAGTCAAAAAATGGCAGCCGTGATTTTAACGAAATAAGGATACCATAATTATGATCTGGATTCTGTGATGCCCTTAGTTATGACTACAAAAGAACTATACAGTTGGATTTTTAAGATTGTTGATGAAGATCGCTAATTTCCAACAAGGGGAACTTAAGCTATCCTGTAGAAAAGGTATGAATGTATGAGTGAGGGCACGTACACTGCGTGCAGTAGTGGCCGGTGTAGCCGGGCGGGCAGCGGCAGTAGCCGTCGTTGGGGCGGCAGGCGGCGTGGCGCGCGCAGCGACACGGCTGCGAGCACGCCGCGCCCCACCAGCCCGCGCCGCACGACGCCTCGCACGCCGCGCCCTGCCAGCCCGCCAGGCACTGGCACGCGCCTGCAACGGAACGTACCATGCTATAATACACGTCAATTCAAATCATACCCGTAGATCCACCGTCAGCCTGTATCTGAACCAAAGAGAAAAAGTTTTTTCTCACATCGATAATAACAATAGTGCCCGTAGAAACGACAGCTAAATTATTAAGTAAACTATTTCATTAATTTGCATAAGTATCCTTTTTTTTTATAAACATTGATTCAACGACAATCATGTATACATCGGGGTCCTTAATCGTAAGCTACGTACACACCGACTTCGAGTAGCCAATTCAACTAATCAAACATCTCCAAATTTGTATGAAACATACGTAAACCATATAAATATAACTCATGTCGCTCATCATAATTGTACCTATCTCATCATATTGTATCATTACTTGTTCTAAAAAATAGAATACTCACCCGTAACATGATGACAATCGGCGCCATTCTTACACGTGCACTTCTCCTTGCAACCAGCGCCGTAGGTACCAAGTGGGCAGGGATATTCGCACGTCACACCAGTAAAGCCGTTCGGGCAAGCGTACACGCCAGTTACAGGATCGCAAGTAGAGTTACCTGCCGAACGATAACATTGTTACACAATTCAAAACAAATACACCAATAAGTTTATAAACTTGCAACCGAAGCATAAACAGTAGAAACCGCTTGTATAATCTGCAAAAATGGTAACTTGGCCAGTTATTTCACGTCTGTAAACAAGCGATACAGTCGGGCTGATTTAATGAATCAGTTTTGTTCTTTTTATATCATTTCAATATTGTGCAGTAAGTTTGAGACAGTTAAATTGTGCAATTGAAATCATGTACCTATTAATTCTGTTAACAGGAGCTGTGACAAATCCAACAAACTGAAAAGCATCAAAATCTGTCCTCGAGTTCTTTATAGTAGCTTTACGACTTTGTTCTATCTATATGATTAATTATGATACAAATGAAAGACAATTTACAGACTGTTTAGGTAATTGGATTTAGATAGAAGCAGAAGATGAAGTTACCATTAGGATTTTCGGGGCAAAGTTGCGTGCAACCGGCGCCATAGAATCCAGGCGGGCACGGCGTGGTGCAGTCGACCCCGGTCCAGCCCGCGGCACACACGCACCGGCCGGAGGACGCGTCGCACGACGAGTTGTTCCCACACGGACACTTCTCCGAACAATGCTCCCCGTAACGACCCTCCGCACACTGCGTCTCACATCTCACACCTATAATACCATCAATATTTTTTATATTAACTTGTGTTTTTAACATTAAGAATATGTTTCAACTTAATACATGCTACCACCTGACTGTTATTTCATTTACCCGCTCATGTTATAATTGTTACATAACGTGTAAAAAAATTAATGCAACATGTGACGAAAAGAGTATGCTTTCTAATTACTTTGTAATATCACATCTTTTATTCTCTACAAAATGGGATACACATACACTTATTATAGTTTAGTATAAGTACTCAAGTTTCGCAGTTACGGTTTTGTGTATATTCACTTTACATAACAATTACATATACTTTCGAATAAAAAGATTTGTGTCACTGAACACTTTGAGAGTCAACATTATTTTAACTATAATCTTCAGGAATATAAGAAATAAGACACATTTTTAAAGAATATTTGACACAACAAACTTTATGTCGTATGAAAAGCCACATTACGAGAATAGCTGGTGATGATACGTTGAAAAGGTAAAGGCTACAAAATCTATGATTTAAATTATCGTCATACAACGATTAGTGTATCGAACTACAAAATGTTACATAGATGAAGAAAACTTCATATATAGGAAAAATGAGAATGAAGTGTAAATGACACAAAGAATGCAATAATGTCGTGTAGACATAAAACAAGACATTTAATAAATTAGTAGATTATAAAAATTCGTAATATCATTTGACAGATAACATCATTTGGACAAAACTGAGTGCCAAGCACGAATAACTATCGCATTCGTATCGTAACAGTATCGAGCGAGTTAAGCGTTCTGATTGGTTGTTTCACTTGAGCCGGCCAATCAGAGCGCCGAACGCGCTCGATACTATTACGTTACGAATGCGATAGTCATTCGTGTTTGGCACTCTGATTCAAGTTAATGAGACACTCCGTCTCACTAACACTGGCAATTGTAAATTTAAAAAAAAAACTTCATTACAATTTTCTAACTATTAGAACTTCAGGTGTACAATATTATTTATTACCAGCACACTGCATTTTGCATAATACCTAATTGCCTATGTATAAAGTAAGATTTGAGATTATAGAAAGCTGACGTTAAAAGCATTATCTATATCAACAATATAGAAAACAAATCTTATTATAGTCAGCCATCAATAAATCTTTTTTAATTTGAAAACAGACAAACGACCATTTTTTAATCAATATTTATTAAATATCTAGTATTGCAGAAGACAATTTATTCACGTATGTTTGTCCTTGATTGACAGACACTTCCCATACTGCAGCAGTTTTTTCTTTTTGACTCACAATAGCCACAATAGTTTTAGCAGTTGTCACTTCGAGTACATTGAGAGCACGTGTCACCATAGATAAGATATTGTTAGAGTCAGCGTGTTCTTTGTCAGCGTACCAGGACGCACAGCTTTTTATAGGTATCTTGTTTAAATGATCGCATTCTTCTGAGACAACCTCGTTTAGCATGGCGTAGCGATCAAAATCTCTCTCGTATTCCCGCTCGTCGTTGTCAAACTCATGCGCCGTGCCTTGTATATCATCATTATCATTTCTCCGTACATAGAGCTGCTGAGCCTTGTCGCCGCTATAAGCGAGATTCCTAATCATATCTTTCTTCGGAATTAACTTTGAATTATTGTCTTCACACAGAGTGTCATATAGGATGGTAGACCCCGATAAATCTGGCGTAATAGTACACATATTGAAATCAAGTTATACATACCTATCCTAGTAAGACCTGCATAAAAATGTTGATTCAAATAAATGAAGGTGAAACTGTGTATATAATGTTTACTATGCCACTTTACCAAAACTTACCTTATTTTCAGATTGTTTATATGATTGATATAAACTACATTAATAATGATATAATCAAAGGCCATGAAAATGTCATCATGAATGACTTGGTGCGGTAAATTGGTGTCAGAAAGGACGAAAATGGCGTTGACTTGTTATGATCTGCACACAAGTGCACACTGCCTACATTAAGCATCAAAGACCGAGGGCCTAGTGTAACGTAACCTGTTAAAAAATAAAAAATCATCGATATCTGACCTCTCCAAGCGCTCTCACAGATGCACTGTCCAGTGACGTGGTGACAGCCGCGAGCGTTGTCTGTGCAGTTGCAGCGATGTAGACAGGCGAGCCCGAAGTACCCGGCCGGGCAGCGCCGGTCGCAGCGCGCGCCCGTGTAGCCCGCCCCGCATACACACTCGCCTACGGATACAATCAATCAATTAATTACATTTTTTAATACTACAGATCTGATACTATACAGTGTGTTTAGGGTCAGTTTTGCGATATTTCGACAAAGCGATGTGGATGTAAAATTTTATCGACACAAAATACACTGTACTGTATACAGTTTGATTAACATGGAGCTAATCAGCTAATCTCTTATCACAGAATATTTAAATGTATAGCAACAAGAATTGAAGATACCTACATATACATCTTGACTTTAAGATACATCAGTATTATCTATCTATTCATATACAGCTCGCTTGCATAAACGACTAAAATCAAAGAATATGTGCATATTTCTTTATACATACCATTAACAGGGTTGCAGGGTGCATCATTCTCACAATTACATGGTTGGCGACAATTTAGGCCAAATGTTTTCCCGTTACATGGTCGATCACATTTTAGGCCTTCATATCTGTAAAAGAGATACATTTTTATTTAAATTTAATTAAATATATTTTTTTATCCAAAATTAATATCGTATTATGAATTGGGATAGTATAAAACATTTTATGAATACTCCAATAATATCATAAGTACTTTAGCAATGACAAATCAAAAAGGTATTATCATAGAAAAGTACATTTATATGGTGTGATAATACCTTATGTCATTATAAGGTAAAACATACGCATTATATATTTTATATATTATTTTTATTATTGTAAATAATAATAGTATGGCGCAATCCACAGCTCTTTATCACAATAAAGGCACGTGGCGTGACGCAATGTTTATATAAGATTAACTGAATAAAGCAGTGGTTAACTGATATCGTATGTTACAATTCAATAATGTAGCTTATCAATTAATTTACATACAATAGTATAAAAGGTTTATATTATTATTTAACACGACCATTAATAAAATAAATCATATTCTAGAGATTTATCTTATTTTTACTACTTTCAAGTACGTAAAACTAAATGGGTACGTAAAATTAATACTTTTAAAGTTGTTACATGTAACAACATTACTACCGCGACTACAGATGCGAGATCCGGCGCATCGGTAATCATTCATGCCGATAAACACAGATTATGAGTCCCTATCGTGACTTGAAATTAGTTGAAGTACCTCAAACACTTAAGTGCAGTAAAATATATCTTCTAATCAATTTATTTTCTACTTGGTAATTAAAATACAAAATGAATATGTGTAGCTTTGTATAACCTTGCGGGGAACAAAAACATTATGTACTCACCCAGGTTTACATTCACAGAGTCCAGTTTCGTGTGAGCAGGTTGCATTGTTGTAACAGTCGCAGGTACGGGAACAGTTGTCTCCGTAGTACGGGTACTGACAGTGCTCTTCACATCGCAGCCCACGGTACCCGGGCGCGCATAGACATGACCCTACATAGATATAATTAGTTATTCAATGTACTGAATAATTCTAGCTTGTATGAATAAATTTTAATAAATTTTCTTAAGTAATATTTTTGTCGGCGTCGATGGTTGGCTAGAAAATCTCGCGGCAGGACTGGCTACTGCCGCAAAATGGATAGCGAACAACTCGTGTAAAATTACTGTACCTGGTTTCGGAGTGATACAAAACGTCATCTCGATTAAAAACGTAATGGATAACGTACCCGCGACACAGCAGACTTTTAAAAATAAAATCTTAGGTATTACGAACTACAATTTGTGCATATAATTACCGTTGACAGGCGAACACAGTCCACTGTTTTCACACCGACACGTGGACCGGCACCCCTTCCCGTACGTCAGTAGCGGACACTGTCGCTCGCAGGACTCCCCGCCCCACCCCGCCGAGCATTCGCACGCACCGGTCCAAGGATCACACCTGTGTAAAACATAATATTACATGCTTATTTGTTTCTTATCTGTTTGACTGCCTCGTTGGCCACGTAGTAGCACGACGTCTGGAATTGTGCCCGGTATATGGCAATAGGCTCATCCCCTATTACATGGGACTCAAAACATAAATAGCATAACATGAAAACTGGGTGTTACAGTGGCCTACCCCTTCGGGGATAAAAGGCATGATGTTAATTTATGTTATTTGTTTATACAGTTTATTTGTTTCTCATGCATGGGGTGCAGTTTCAAAACCTACCAACGGTAAGTACCAATGTGACTTTTTGCGAGTTATGTATATGTATTTTCTAAGATTAAGACACCACTGACAAACGGTGAAGGAAAACATCATGAGCAAACTTGGGTTTATAATGTCTAATTATAGTTTTAAAATCGCCAACTCGCATTGAACCAGCGTGGTGATTAATGCTCAAACTTTCTCCGTGTGAGAAGAGGTTCAGCAGTGGGCATTTATAGGCTGTTGATAATGATGATAATGATGGAAATGAGAATTAAATAATGGGAGAAATTATCAAATTACTTTAAACTGTCAAACACCAAGCGGTCACCGGTGACCGCAACCTATTGTTCTATAATTGTGTCTATAAAACCGGTACTCGACGAGTTAAACTAAACATTGATATTTACGAAGCTATTATTGTTAACATTGCTATGTTTACCCTGCTTATTACCTAAAAAACCAAAATATACCACTAGCAAGACAATCACAAAAAAGTATTTATCTGGTTTTCCCAAATAAGTCGTGGGAGATAAGCTCGTACCGACTTTGTTCGTGGGAGTGTTCGGATGTGAAACAAACAAAAGAGATAAGAAACTACAATAACAACATATTATATCGGTAAACTTAAGATCTTATCAGCAATGAACGTAATGTCAGAACCTAAATTGAAACATAACTGATAAATTGATAATGAAGATAATCTATCTTTGAAATTAAACTGATGACTTTTTGACTGTGGTCTTGACTATTTTTGGGGTTCGTGATTTCTATAGAATGGCACTATAATTTACATATCATACACAAATCTCAAGTAGTCTATAGAAATAAGACTGCCTCATGAATGAATTAAATGGATTATTTTTTTCAAAACTTCCAGATTGAGAGACATCTGAAGAAATAAATTTGCAGTAAGTACATTTTTTTAGTATTCGCAGGTCTTAATCCTTAGTACCTAGTTACGTAATAAAAGAATAACATACATGTCCGTAGTAGCGGGATTGCACTCGCAGTCCCGGTCGCAGCGCGCGCCCCACGTGTTGGCGGGGCAGGCGCGGTCCTGGCAGCGCTCGCCCGTCCAGCCAGGCTTGCACTCACACGACCCGTCCTTCGAAGAACACACGCCACTGTGCTCGCACTGACACTTTCTAGAACAATCCACGCCCCACGTACCCACTGGGCATATCTCCAGACACTGTAATAGACAAAATATAATTGAAATAGACATATAACATCAAATATCAGCCTTTATTCCATGAGGGGGAGGGGGGATGCTCATAATTAAACTTAACATCTAGTGTTGTTAGTATCCCATGTAATCGAACTCAAGGGTAGTTTTGCTATGCACTAAGTATTGTTCCACGCTCCATTTCTAAGTATTTTTTTAATATTAGCTTATTAGGTATTGTACAATCCCTAATACCTAATTATAACCGAGGCTAATCGTACGGGATGTGTTCCAAATTCATAACAATGTATTAATATCGTAGGTAGTGATGTGATATCAGTAGCAGTTACATCCAACGTTAGTAAACATAAATTAAATTAACTGCAAATAAAATAGTGTTTATGAAGTACCTATGAGGAATTCGAATAGGTACTCATATTTAGGAACTTATAAAAATATACCTTTTCTCCAGTAAAGCCAGCTTCACACTGACATCGACCAGTGACGTGATGACAACCAGCTCCGTTAGCACATTCACACGATTTCTCACATTTTGGTCCCCACTTTCCCGACGGACACCTATGAACAAATATAAAAATTAATCCCCATTTTCTTCGTCAGTGCATCACTTGTGAATGGTAAGACAGAGTTAGCAAACTTATTTTGTGTGGCCAAGCCGCAAAAACACATAAAAATAAAAATGATTGTTTACAAGAATTATCAACAAGATGCATACTTATTTGCACAAACTTCTCCGGTCCACCCAGACGGGCATTCACAGGTTGACAGAAAAGTACATTTTCCGTTGTTCTGACAGCGGCATCTCACGGGACACGGTTCATCACTGGGACAGACTTCTTCACATCTGAAATAACCAACTTCCTTATTATGATGCCAACACAACAGTTATGTACACAACAAAGCCGAATGTTTTCGAACGCGCACGTAATACGGTACTAATTTTGTAACGAGACCTATAAACATTGGGATCCAGTTTCATTAAACATTGTGTATAATAGGGCCGGGAATGTTGGTAAAACGCTTCGTAGGAATTCATTATTTGTATATTGCACGCACAAAATTGCAAAAGATGATTAATGGTTTGTTTGTTTAAATAAAGAATATTTTTGGATATTTAATCCAATATAAATATTCATTTGTAATCAAATCATATTGTTTCCATTCCCAAGACTTATTATCGCTGGTTATATGTTAGTACTTCGAGTACCCTTCTTAACTCCTTAAACATTCTAATTCCTATACAGATACATAGTAACACTTACAAAGGTCCAGTGAATCCCGGTGGACACCGGCAGGCCCCGGAGGCCGGGTCGCAGGTGCCATTGTTGGTGCAGTGGCACAGCTCGTCGCAGTTGTCGCCGTACGTGGGAGGAGCACACGCCCGTTCACAAGCATCCCCGCGCCAGCCCGCCGTGCAGGCGCACTTACCGGTCAAAGGTTCACACGTACCACCGTTCATACAAGTACATTCGTTCTGACAGTTTCGTCCCCATTTTCCATCAGGACACGCTGAAATTGTAAAAACAATGTCAGATTTAAACATTAAATAACAAAACACAACTATGCCAAGAGCTGATAGAGAATTTAGTCTATTGTGTTTAATTGGACCTAGGTAGGTGCTTACTGGCTTACTAATTTTAATTATAGGTAATCTATTCACAAAAATTGTACGCATTTGAATAACAATAATATAGCACCATTAACAATGCCATGTAAACACAAACTAGAATATCAATGCGGGTAACTCTCCTTTTAAGAACTGATTTAAGTTCCCATTTAATACAGATGAACATTTTTGGAGTCGATATTATGCAACTATGGATAAAGGTTATGACTTGTGCTTATAATAGGGTTGTTTGTTCAATTAACAATAACACTGCATTATACTTAGAGCTACAATTGGCTTCACTATATTTCGTGGACAATGCAGTATTTACTTTAAAATTACCTACTGGCCTTTTCTTATAATGTTTTGTGAATGATTCACGGTCTTTGGTGTCGCGTTGCCGTGAACTATCGATGACGTATCAGTCAACCTTTGTCTTGTTCAATGACAATACACCGTTTTTTTCTAACAAAACGTAAAACTGAATGTAAATTTCAATATGTACTCTCAAAAAACTCAACGGTGAAAACCTACGCATTGTTTTTGACACGAACTATGTATGTAGAGCATATCACCGGTGTTCGCAAATGTTTGCAGAATAAAATAAAATAAAAATACTCTGACTTTCACCAACCAACTAAACGAACCGAGAATTGCATCCACGATATATTTTTATGGGCGTTTCTGATTGATTGCCTTTTAGATTTACACAATTAAAATTTCATTTGTTTCACTCAGGATTGCGACAAGAAAATAAAATGTTACATAAACTTTTGAAACCACTTTAAAGCAGTTATTGAATATCTCACACAAAGAACCTACCAGTACATAATTGTAAAATGATCTTTGAACCCATAACAAACTAGATAGGTAGTATGTATATAGTATTCCTAATTAAAACTTATAATTCGATAATATTGCCACGGCTGCTGTACATTTGTGCGGACATGGAACAGAAACATCACATTAGCCACATCCTGTTTACGGCGTTATTCATAACTGTGGAGTACGGGGAACTCGCAATTGACAGTTTCTATATAAAATGTATCTTACATATGTCGCAGGCTGGGCCGCCGTAGCCGTGCGCACAGGCACATGTATTGGGCGCCACACACTTGCCGTGGACACACGACTCCACGCACACCGGCACGCACTGCTCCCCTCGAGCGTCCGGCGCGTACCCCGCACAGCACTCCTCCACTGGCCTATACTTGATCAACGTTTGAGTCTTGAAAACTTCCCTAAACTTAATCTTGTACTTTGAACACTTCGGTGGGACATTGAAGCACCATGTATACTCCTTCACCTGATACGGCTGTTTTTCTGATACTCGTATCGTCGTAGTGTATCTGGAAGCAACCAATTATTGTTAATTAAATAAACAACTGATGTGTACGTGTAAAACACAAGTGTCATGCCGTTAACATAACCAAGTATAGGTACATTGTATAAATTACATGTGCAAATGAAGCTAGACATCTAAGATTGCAGTAATTAAATGATGTATTACACATTTTTTATTATCACACTGTATCAATAGATAGATAGTATACCAATTAACAAATGGCACACAGTCACAGAGTGCAGTCTTAAGTTCATTGTCAGTTGATAATACATTGGCCGACGGATATCGATAATAGTAACATTGAACTGTTACATTCACAAAGCTACCAAGTAACGGGGCGCGGTGCGGAAAACTCGATAAAGTTAACTGACCCGATGAGTAACGATACTGGTCAGCACCAATCAGCCACCCCAACATATAAAAGTAAATAATAAACAAGGCCCTCGCACTGGACCAATATTGAGTAACAAAGAACAATGAACGTTAATTCAGATTCGCCTTGTGACCATTCTAAAATATTCATAAAAATAAGAAATACATAACAAACTCATTTTACTAAACAACCCATACTGCTCAATTATAGACAATACAAGCATTTTTGCATTTCAGGAATTACGACTAAGCTTAATTATTTTGAGGATTTAGAGGCGACAAAACGTATATTTCCACTTTATTAGTACTAGGTATTCACTTTCATTGGACTAATGATATTAAAGCTGTGGCAGGCAATACATAGACAAGAGTAGCAAACTATAGAGTGAAAAGGCGACCGTTGTTATTACATTCACACTTTCATTATTCAAACACTATAATATTGCTTTAATTACAATTTCCATAATTTGAGGTTTATCGGGTATGTCCATAATTGCCCAGTGGACAATGGCTGTTGTTGTTTTACAAATATTTAAGGACTTTGTAAACTAAAAGAGGTCATTTAATTAAAACTATCCCAAGTATGCCAATCCTTCCTTTTAATTTACGTTGTCTATCATTAAATATGAAACAAATAAATGTATATCAATGAATAAAGATTGTCCAACATAAAATCACTGTATTTTGATCAATTCAAACCAAACAAAGTACCTATTAAGCTTCAGAGCTTTGTAATAAAAGTTACTTGTATATGAAAACATTAAGGAAAATTAACTGCTTTAATAAATTGCATTTCCAACTATTTAATGACTCATTATTATTTCATTCTTAATACATAAATTATTATTGTGTATAACTTTACCATAAAATTTAATATTTTATTCATATGTATTAATAAAACCCAGTCTAGATATAGGAGAACTCATTTGATAAACTACTAAATTGAACTCTTTACAAATATCTCTCTTCTTATCTAATATAAGTAAACGAAAACGAAATCAAAACGTAGATGTAACCATTATCTGAATATTATGAATTAATGAATTACATTTAGTTTTCCAATTACATATTTATTTGTTGTAAATTAAAAAATAAACTAAGTTTAACAAATTATTAAATCTTATTGAAAGTTAGGTGCATTATGAACTATGAGCCAATTGTACCTACATTTTATTCCATCTGTCTATCAAAAAAATCTTAATCTCGAGAACACTCTCAGAGTGATCTTTGGGTTCACACCCAGAAATTGCCTCAAATGCATGTTTTCATGCTATTTAAGATTTTGCTATAAGTACCTACTTCTTATATGTGTATAAATTCCGACTTAAGGAAGTTAATGATTGTTTTTAATATTTGTTTTCGTTTATAAATATTAAACAGCGGTTGGTATTGCGGCACGTAGCCCTCTAGAAAGCTAAAGTATTCAATTATTCAAACAAAATTAGATCTACAGATCTAATTGAATACTATACATAGTAACCATAAACATTAATAACTAAATGATACATATGAAGTATCTAACTGGATTATTTTGGTATCTACGCAATGTCCTTCCTCTTTTACACGTCGTCATATCTACATAGCATAGTGTAAGTGCGTACATACGCTTGTTAGCACACATTGTATGACGTAATAGTCATATAGTATCTCAAATGTTGAATCATCAGACCTATGGACCACAGAGTATCAACGGCCAGAATATTAGCATCACATTATTATTACATTGTTATACATTAGAGTTTTCTTTCACTCCAATGTATGGTTCGATAAGGTATACTACATAGAACTGTATTTCCTACAGCCAAAATATGTATTTCAACTATATAAATTAAGTGTGTAATAATTATGCGAAATCAAATAAGTATGTCAGTAAGCCGGTATTAAACTGCTTACGAGGAATTCTGTGAATTCATTGTTATAAGGTCAGATTGTCTCTTTGTCGGAGGTCATGAATACGTCTTCGATCGAAGCAACTCGGTGCGAAACACTATATTAGTCGAAGTCCAGAATAAAGCCGATATTTGGCAATCCATAGGCTAATCCCATCCCAATAGGCTCTGCTTCTTATATTTACATGGAAATACTGGAAATGATCTTCTTGGTTTGAACATCAAAATGACTCATTTCAAACTATCCAAGGAAGCATGAAGCAATGAAGCATTGGATAGTTTGAAATGAGTGATGTATTGCAACTAAGTTTAGGAAATACAAATAAAAGGTCTTTGTAACTCGTATGTTTATAAGGAAGTACTGATTTGTTTACATTGAGAAACAATCGAATAGTTTTTACATATCCTTCACGGGCACACGGCAAACACACTGCCGTCGAGGGAAGTAATATCACAGAATTACTTTCTGCTGATTCACTTTAAAATATAAATTGATGTAATTCAACTCTATTTATCTGTTATCTTATTAGGTAAGTACTACAATTTAATTATGTTACGCACAGATTCGTAAAAATTATGGTCTAATAAAATAATACCTATTAAGAAAAAGTGTTACTGGTATTATCAATATTAGTGATAACAATATTGAGAACAGTTCAATTACCAACATAATCGTTTACATGTACTGAATGAGTTAACACATAATCGTTTATGTAAACGAACGATTATATGATATCATCCAGTGTTGTTCTATCAATTGAATGAAATGTACTCACGATTCTTGTCTGGTGCAGACATTGGGGCCTTCCAGGAGTGCATAAGTAAGGCTCAAGAGCGCGAACAACACGCTGAGCACCGACCACATCTCGACTTCGGTTCACGCAATATGACGCCGTATCTCCATAACAAATCTATTGTTTTGCCGTGTTTACGTCACAATAGGCATTCAAATCTGATTCCGTTGCACTTTTTTCTACAACTATTGCAAAATATGGCTGCTGAATTTTACCTGAAAATAAAAAAAGTGTGTTTAGTATACCTATTATGCATATGTATGATTTTTATATGATATCATGTTTCTATATAGGTATTAGTTAGGTAATCTTATAAGCTAAATTCCTGTCAATAAAAAGTAAAAACAATACATGGGTGCGCTGCGATATGATTTGTTTGCGTCTATCAATAATGACAATATCATATAACAAAAATGTTGTAACTACTTTACTTTCTACGTAACTATAACACGAGTGAGATATCTTCGTAAATGAAATGGAAGCTAAATCACAAATCATCTCATTTATAGTATTATCCAAAATGAAATAAAAGATGTCTGGGGGCCGTCAATGAAGACTGCAGACATCGAGACGGCAATTTGTCAGCTCATCAATATTATATTTATTCCGATGCGAGCCAACACAGGAACCGATGATAACATGAACATGCATTTATGTACGTGTACCTAGTTTGCACGAAGAACTTATAATAAACAAAGAGCAATACCACAGATACTGTGGCAATACATACAAAATAAGAGGTGTTTGTTTATAAACGTAGCCTTTTCTGCATAAAAATGGTATCTAATTGCCAACGTAAACAAACATTTTAACTAATTACATACTAAAACAAACAAAAAGCAGTGTTAACATTTTGTGTCCCATTCATGACGTGCTTTCAAAATATGAATAGTTGAATGTTCATTACAAACCATTATACTGACATATGTATAAAGTTTCAATAATAATAAGTACCTTAATGTTATACTGCAACATAAAATAATTATACATAAGGTCAAAACAATGAAAACAGTGATTCACATTATATTATCAAAACTACGTAGGTTTCTGGAACTATGCTTATATTTTATATACTTAACATACCTATATTAGTACGTATGTTTAGTACATTCCCGTGCCTACAAAGTATGACAAACAAGAAAAGCTTTGACTTTGTACCTACTGGATGAAAAGAACCAGTTTAAAAATAGAAGGCAGAAGAAGATAAAGTTGTGTCATTTATACATAGAATCCAGTAAGACTGCATCGCTGCAGCAATTATGAATTTTAAAATACTCGTCTAATTATGCGGTGCAGTGTTGTAAATGCACTTCTATTTGCTGCAATCGTTCTGAAGTACAGCTGCACTTAACTAGTGCTTCAAAATGTTTATCACGTTAGTATTGCATAAAGCGGTTCAAATGCTTGGCCACTTCTTGTATGTGTAATATCTTGCAAAACTAATAAATAGGTTTAGGTATCTGCTAAAACAATCGCTATTGACTCGTATTAGACAAGCTAGAAAGGTGGGGAATATATTTTTTTTTTTATAAAAACGTTGCCCCACACTAGGATTTTCTCCTGTGTCGTAGGTGCGTTTACAAACATACAAGTTCACATACACATGACATCCAGACCCGGAACAACAATCTGTGGATCACACAAAGAGTTGTTCCGTGTGGGAATCGAACCCGCGACACGTTGCACGGCAGCCAGTTGCCCAGCCACCGCGCCAACCGTGCAGTCTATGATAGTGGGAACACTACCGCAACGAACTATTTGCTGATTACCTTAATGATCGTTATCAAATTCAGAACTAAAAGACAGTTTCTATGGTATTCCACAAGGAAGTATGTTGGGTCCCACCCTGACCTGTGTTGTTTATCACTAGACGGGTTTAATTATATCGTGTGCGGATATTAAAGTATTACTATATTATACGTAGTTAAATCAAGGACCGAAGTCTACGAGCTAATTCAAAAAGGCTTCAATAATGTTAGGATCCGCTTGTAGTAGTTACACTTGTCTGGAAATTTTTATTTCAATAAACAATATATTTACTTGTTCGTTTTATTTATTTATTAAATAATTTGCACATGAATACGTCATATATAAGTGTTTTATATCATCTCAAGAGGTACCTAACACTACCGCAGACCGCAATATATTATAGAGCTAAGCAGGGCGTTGGTTTTATTTATGCTAATTACTACATCTATGAAATTATGTTGTTTCTACTAGTAGCAACAGCATAATTTGAACAATTTGTGGTTAAGAAAAAGAAAAGCTTTTAATTGGTTAGGTTTTAATATATTTTTCAGTAATTCCCCGTTTCGTTGCAGTTATAAACTACACAATATAAAGGACTTTTGTTCAATTGAAATGTTTTATCAAACAACGCACCATTTAACACGATAAGCGTTAACTATTAACAAAATAAGTAATTGGTGTTGATTATGAGTGGCAGTAGCGACATGGATAATCATTATCGCTACCCATAAGTTTACCAAATAGGTCAAACAAGGCATACTGCTTATTTAACAGTAACTCGAGTAACTAGCATTCTATGTGCGTTGCGAATATTGTCAAAACACGAGTCAGCGATGTTGAAGACTAAAACAATTGAGCCCATCATGTCATGAGTTAAACAGGTCACCGCACTAACGTGTGGGCATGGATAAATATACAGGCATGTGGTGCAAGGAGCGAAAGTGGGGCGACATACCGTACTAGTGCGAACCGCGAACGCCTACGTGGCCGCAGACTTGTTCATGATAAATGAAGGAACTCGCCACTATTACATTGACATTCACGACTGCTAATATTATATTAATTTACAAATGATCACTTAATGTTGTTAGAAAATAAGCAAACGCGCGTGACTTGTACCACAAACAAGAAGCTATTACCCAAGAGGTCTGGGTGCGAAGCAGACGCATCCGCATTTCATTCAGGATGTAATGATAACGTATCAAAAGTATAAATTACTAATTTGGATAAATTTATTATTAATTAAAACTATATGACCCTCAGCAGAAGCACGAGTATTTTGCGGGCGTATAACGAATAAAATATTTATAAGGATACGCGATATTCAAGCGTGTCAAACTTAGTACGTAGACGGATTAGTGACGACGAAAAGAGATGCATGAAAAAATGAAAATAACTAATAGCTATTAGACAAATTGCTGTTAGAAGCTTTCACATTTTACTTAGTTGAATTTATTTCTTGAAAAGATCCATTCCATATGTAAATATTACAATACGAAACTATAGAATGAACACGTTGGGTAGAAATGCCCGCGATAATTTGTTAAAGAAGGCTCCCTTGATGATAGACATTAAGTAAGTTGAGTACCTAGGTACTTAAATAAATAATCTTCAATAGTATTGTTTCTTAATTAAATTGATTATTATTATTATTACACATGTGTAAATAAGAAGTAGGTTTGCAAAAGTTCAGTACCAGTACATATTTTGTAACTTGTAGCAATAAAGATAAGTTGCTGGAAGTAGTTATAAACAGTGGGATGAGTCATTTGTGATAAACAAGAGATAAGTTGTGTTATTCACACAAGATAATACAATGAGAAAAAGTTTAAACACTTAAACTGTTCCAGGAACTAAAAACCAAGATATGTTACTTTTTAGGCTAAGATTTGCATTACTGAACATTTACAGTGAATTTAATACCTACAGATAATAGCTATCTACACTAGAGTATTCCATACACATACTTGAAGATGATTTCAAAGTGATTTAATGGTTATTTCATAATAATGAGGCCACCACCTGATGGTTACAATTTCGGTACCAAAAATAAACACAGTTGTAGTAAATATGTTCAGCAGATGTTAATTCTACTAATAATTTTGGATTGCTCATACTTGGGTATGAAAATACTTTAGCACATTCATTTGCTAATGGCATGAGTAAGTAAGCAAAGAAAAGAATACTAATTAGAATGGTATTATTTTTTGTATTAGCTACAGTAGAGGATTTCTAAGAAAGAAACAACTCTATCCAATGTGGTTCTTTTTATTATAAAAAATAAATAAGATTAATAGTTGTTTCATAGTAAAGTAGCATTCCTTCCTTACTTAGAGGGCTTAGTATGAGTTTCTTTTACATTTAAAGTAATCCAAAGAAGATTGCTTTCAGCACTCTTGATTGGTGGGTTCATTGTAGCCGGCCAATCAGAGTGCCGAACACTGTTCATTATTTAAAATTGTTACGTTTTTGAACTTTGCAATCAATTTGTCTAATAGTATTGCATTTACCTAAATCTAGAATTCTAGATAAATCTTATAAGATTAAATAATAAGTAAATTAGATATTTATAGAACATTCTATGATTCCAGTTCCATATTACATACTAAAATAATAACAAACACATTGCCTGTCCATTGCCTGGAATTTCAAAATACTGCAATGTAGTGCTTACTTTGGCGATTGTGATTTGGTTTATATCTGTCATACTATGAGATTATATTGGTCTAATTGAAATAAATGACTTGACTTTGACTTTGAACTGAAGAAGCATTCTTTTACAGAAAGGAAGTAAGCAATATTTATTTTCAGGGTAACACAACTAATAAACATTTACTTTTACACTGCTAGCTTTGAAAAAATACTTAAGATTAAGTAATAACTTATTCTCATTTGTGGGAATGGGAATAACTAATGAGCAATAGGATTTTTTTCCAATTTTGAATATACCTAAAATAACAATATTAATAATGCAGTACTACTTAGTTTAACTCGTCGAGTACCGGTTTTGTAGACACAATTATAGAACAATAGGTTGCGGTCACCGGTGACTGCTTGGTGTTTGACAGTTTAATAGGCTTTTCTAGAAGTGCAAGAAATTTTCAAAATCAGAAAGTGGTCAATTTATAAAGAAACCAGGTCATCAATAGTGAAAGCATGCAGAACTAACAAACAAGCCCTCATTTGCTGATGTTTGCTAAGTATTTAGTACTGACTGTAGAGAGAATATAATATTGTACATACATACATATTTATAAGTATTTATATTTCATACACTATAATAAATTAAGAAGAAATGTGGACTTAACTTCATATTTATAATGGAATTATAGTAATGGAATATATTCTTACTAATAAAATATATTTAGTAATTATTATAAAAAGCTTCTGTTCCAGGATGACTTGGTCATGACCTACATTCAATCAATCTTAACTATTTAACCCTAATTTGAATATATGGCAATGTGTTTATTGGTGTTAATGAGTAAGAAATTATTGATGAATTTTCTATAAATATATTTATTGTGTAGATATTGATGTGGATCTTACAGTAATAGAATAAGAAGTAAGTATAAGTCTAGAGTAGTGAGAATTGTTATTGTTTTGCTTTTATAATAACTGGTATTTTGTTGTTCTTCTCTTATTTTATTTACCTATGTCTATCGTCCTTTCATCCTTTGCTTTCAGACAACCATACCATTATTATAGGGGCTATAATATTATAAGTTTCTTTTGACAGACACTTATTTATAATTATGTTTGTAAATGCAGAAAGAAATCTAACTCTTTCTACTTCAATGCCACGAGAAAAGCCATAAAATATGAATCATCTAAGATTTTATACAAAAAAAACTATTCCGTCTTACTTTGAACATAAAACTTTGTCATTGACACAAATTTATTGTGACGCTGAACAGAAAGTTTACTGAATAAACAAAATAAATAGTTAATTGATAAAAGTTACTCACGTAGCAAAATAATCGTTGAGAGACTGGTCCAAGTATATGTGTGATTCACTGTTTCACAAAAACTATTCACCGTACAGACAGATAGTTCCTCAATGAATTGGCTGTATCATCGCCATAATATCCGTACTGACTACTGACCCTATTTTGCTGTACTGTCGCTCAGTTTTAGTGCAGAATGACGTCAAAATTATCCCAAACAAGGTTCAATTAATGAAATAAAATTGATTACTTTTACTAACAGTGAGTAAATTGAATTCTTTATGTACGCATAAATGAAACGAAAATATTGAGTGTATTGTAATTGCCTTGGAATTATTATGACTGACTGGCTGAATGAATAAAATAAACTGATTGACGATGCGATGACGTATGTCTACCACAGAATATAAATACTCCAACCGTGACAGTTCGGCTCAGCTTGCGCTATGCTTTCCATAGACTATACCCCAAACTTACAGATTAACACCTGGTATTATTGCTTTCATATCAAAAATGTCATACTATGGCCAAGAACCACAGAGCTTACCGCAGAGGACATAATGGGTTGCTCGAGCTCAAGCTCGAAGAGCAGAAGTAAGAACCGGGTAGTCTGTTCTGTAGTCAGTAAAAGTCTGAGTCTGACTCTCCCTCTCGTCTTACTCGGGCGAAAGTAGTCTCGTACTACCAATATTTTTTATATTTCTTGGGAAATCTAAGAATAATATTCGACATAGTGTCATAGAAATTATCAATTTTAAGTTGTATAATAATATAATTTATTCATAATAATGTTAAGTTTATTAATTGTATCAAAACTAGTTCCTCGAGATCGTAGTATTTTTTTTTTTTTTTTTTTTTTTTTTTTTCTTCTATGGCAATTGAGTCTCCACTATTTAGTAGTTGACTATTCTGCCAGCGTCATGTGTTACGGCAGGTGTGGGCATTACAGATTATATATTTAAATAGAAAAGGGACAAAAAAATGGCATTGACGGACTGTATTTTTTTCTGCAATTGAGTCTAACGTCATTGTCAATAACATCTGATGGAGCTGTCAAACTCAAACTGTCAATTTCTGTTGAATGTTGAATTGTACGCGTTTAGTCTATAATCTTTAAGTTTTTGTGATCTTTCTTCGTTCATTGATAACTAAAGGAATCTATTGTTATAGTACAGTAACATTATATTTTTTATACGTTTTATCTCAATTGTATTTATTTGAAATATTGACAAACTATGGATTCGTCATCCATCGTCAGTTTTAACAATGATTCTACTTTTCAAACAACGTTGAAAGGTGACTGTAACAACATCAGCGTTCACGAGTTAGCTCTACATGCTATGAGAGATCGATGTTTATTATTACAAAGAAGAATTAACGCATTGGAAACTGATAATATGCGATTAAAACTGGATGTTGTAAAAGCGTCAGAGTGCTCAACATACACACCTATGAAAGAAGACGAAAAGCTGGCATTACATCAAAAAATTGCAGAGCTAAACAAACAAAAGTCGAAACTCATGCATCATGTTTTCATGGTTCAATGTGAAAATAAAAATCTGTGGAATAAAATCTCCACATTAAAAGGTCCTGATAAATCCAACAAGCAGCCTTTACTACGTACTAACACATACATTCACAGCACCCCAAAAAATAGTTCACATTACCAAGAAAAGTATTCAGAATCAAGTTTGGAAGAAATATCTTTAAAATTGATAAATAGTTACATTCAAGAGAAGTCACAGTTGGTCGAACAATATGAACAGATGGCGCAGTTGCAGGATATGGATGATGATATCTTGAATGCTGACTCAATTGGCTTTACATACATTGAAGATCCACCTACAGATTCACTAAAAGAAATCCGATGTCAAACAGAAAAATTGCAGACTATGAAGAAGGAGCTTATACAGCAAGAAACTGATTTAAAATTAATAATATCTAAAGTAGAATCTGTGTTAAGAGGTACTTACAGATTAGCAAGTATTATTATAACTTAAATATTATTGATAAAATACTATCCTGCATAATTTATTTGTGTATTTTTCAGCAACAAATAACTTATAATTTTTTTATTTCTTGTTTATCTTTACAGATGGGTACAAGTGTCCAACATGTATTGCCAACAATGCCAAAATTACAACATCAGAACACAAAGAGATTGAGACAAGTGACAGTCTCGCTAATTGGGCAACACCAGCAGATTCTAGCACATATAATAACAATTACAGTGAATTAAACACATCTGCTTACAAAAAAAGTATTTTAGAAGAAAGTGACAAAGAGAATGTTGATGAAGCTTGTGATAAAATTTGTCCAATGTGTGGACAGACATTCCAAAAAGAAATTGCTTTTTCAGATTTCCAGTCCCATGTTGAAAATCACTTTTTAGGGGACGCTGAACCTGACTCTATTACTGATAACTTTGATAATGTTCCAAATTCATTTGATAATATTATTTAATTATTTTATGAATTCTTATTTATTTATAATTTTGTTTCATGACTGATCTGCATATTTTTGATAGTTGTATGTTTGGGTTTTGAATAATCCATCTCAGTACATATCACATGTAAATAAAGTGGAAACTCAATTATCCAGCCCTCAGTTATACAGTTTTGTAATTATGGACTTACTTAATATTTTGTTTCATGTTTACCAAAGGCAAATTATGTATCAAATATGTTATAAAAATTATTTGTACACACATAACATTCCCGAATTTTGTAATAGACATTGTAATACATATGTATATGTTGTATTTTTTTAATTCTAGCTGTTGCCCGTGACTTCGTCTGCATAGAATATGAATTTTAGAACATAACTTTATGGTTTAAATTTTCCAAAATAAAAGTAGACTATTTTACTCCTTATTACATCAACTACCCGTCAGCCAGCCAAGCTAGTTAGCCAGTACAAACAGACATACAGACACAAATTGTAAAAAATGATATTTTGGTATGTGTATCATATATTCATATACTTGTAGTAAAAAGCGGTTATTTTAATATTACAAACAGACCCTCTAATTTTATATATCTATACAGATATACAACATAGTTACATACTTATCGGTTCAAAACCCAATCTTTTTCATACATTCGATTATCGAAATGCCTAACAACAACAATCAATCCTAATAATCAAGTTTCCATATACATAACTCCACTCCTCTCTGTCACGGGGACTATGGAACAACAATTGCTACAATTTTTACTCTTCTCTTTCGCTTCATTGAGTTTCTACTGTATATATCTTGTGACTTATTTAATTGCAACATTCCATTAAATAATGTTATTATAATGTCTTTTATATTTTATAATTATTTTGGAAAACATGAATTGCAGACAGTAGTAAGACAACATTTAAAAGATCGAGTTGAGTAAAAGTGCCTCAAGCGTAAATTAATCATAGTTGATTAAAATAAGTAGAACTATTGTGTGTCAGCAAATAGATCTCTGAAGACAGGTCATCAATCCATACTTCCTCATAAATGAAAATTGTAAATAGAAAATACCTATTTGGTTAAATTTAATTTCAAATTGTTTTATTGTTTCGAATAAGGGCACAATTATTGATTTTAAGTAAACATACTTTAGGATTAAAATTGTACTATGTTGTAGTAAAATGTAAGATATAAATTAGTCTAATTGTAATAGAAGTTATTAAAAATGATATAATTTTATTTAAAATAGCATAAAAAGAGAATTTAGTATTACTTTAATTTCGAGCAATTATTTTTAAGAAGTAATGGAAAAGAATATAAACCCTTCTTATTTATGATATCTATTTATTTAATATTTCTATATTACTTAACCAGCACTAACAGTCCACTATTATGCTAAGTCGGTAGGTTTGACATCTGTAGACTTTGATGGTTGTTGTGTAGTCTTTTCAAGGAGGTTTTTGCTGAACCACTGTGGCCTTTCCTTTTTCATTTCAATAATTCTTTTGCCCTTCCAGAATTCCTTGGGCTGGAACAGAAAAAACATAAATGGTATCATTCTTTGTTTCCATCTTTTGTCTGGGTTATCAAAGAGGTAAAAGCATATTGCTTAACCCCGAAATCTGGCATATCAAGGAGAAATATAATGTATAATCATAACTATTTACCTGATCGGGAAGAGTTTCTCCTTTATACAAAACCACAACATCATGTTCAATAGGATTAATACCAAGTTTTTCCTTTATCTGTCCCTGAATTTCCTCAGTTTCTTTCTTAATTTTGGTGTAACAGTTTTCTGTAAAAAGGTTTATATAAAATGTAGAAATTTAATACAATGTAGAAAAGATTTTTAAGAATTTTTGAGAATATTTCTAGCAAACCGTTAAAATAAATAAGATTTAGATTTTCTTTCATTACAACTTTTCTCTTTAAAATGTTTATAGTTAAAATAATCATACCACATAGTCTCCTTTTTTCATGATGATGTCCACAGGTTTGGCAAACTTTGATATCATTTTTTGGTACAAGCATCTTCCATACATATTCAGGTGTACCAAATTTTCTCTTCAGTTTCTTTTCAATAGTCCTCCGGAATTTAGGTACAGCCAATAAGAAACCATCCCCAACGATGTCTTTAAGCGAGAACTTTTTAGGAATAGCTACAGGTTTCTTCTCATGAACATAGGCCAATGCTAACTCTGCAATGTGGAATAGAAGTATTAATGAGTTATTTGTATTATTGCTTTGTTTTATCATAAGTATTAGAATAAAATAAAATACTATTAGACCATAGTCTGTTAGGTACATCTAAAACAAAGTTTTTAAGGAAATAAAATGTTGCTCACAAATTAATTACCTTTAGGTGGATGATATCCAAACATATGAAACAAGTTCCTTTCTACATTTTTCATTAGTTGTAATACATGAGTAAAACGTGGAATCATACTGGATTCTTGTAAAAGTTAATATATTCAATATTGTTTAATGCGGGATATTACAACAACCCTAACCCTATTACTTTTGAGGTTAGAAAATAGAATTCTGTCACAAACTTGACAGTTGACATTTTGAATTTTTGACAACATGATAACTATTATTCTCAATTTACCATTACATTGGTAACACTTCCTATAGCCAATACTTGTTAAATCCAATATTTGAGACACGACTGCTTTGCTTTTAATCATCTTCAATTAATTTGAATCTGAAATACATTTTACATACAGCTATTGAATTTTAGTTAAGTTTCATTTTCAATAATAAATTGAAATGTTTTATTTTTAAATATGGTAACATTAAAATCATGGCGACTTTGACAATCAGCTGTCTAAAAGTGGGGGGGAAATGGCGAATGCCTGTAAGCTGTGTGTGTTATGCAGTTCATATCCTCAAGCGTTTCGTTGCAGTTGTAGCTATGGCGTGTTTAAGTTCGAGTAGGCTCTGTGCTCGTGTTCAAGATAAGTTATTGTGTCAATTCGGACATAAAGTTCGAAAGCAAACTGTATTTGTGAAACTCAAACCTCCCGGACCATCTCCATTGCGAATATTTGGAAAGACATGTCAGGTCAGATTCATTTTATATTAGTTTTCTTGTATTTAGTGTATTAATTTTACAGGTTTCCTTAAATAATGAGTGCAAATATTTTGTTTTTAAAATCTATTGTGCAATTGTTTTTTTGTGTTTATCAATGATAGTCCTCTTTACATAACAGCATGACAGTTTAGATCTAACCTCTCATTGTCAGCTGATTTAGTCAAATATTGTAAAATGATTTTTCTGACTAAATATCCAATAAGAAATTTTAATAAACACATTTTCACAATACTTTGGTGTATGCTAAACTAGGGTCATTCATTGGAAATGTTAAAAGTGAAATCTTCGTGACTCGGTGAGCAGTGGGTCGCTTCGCGCTCGGCACAGGTTTGTTCGGCTTGTCGGATGATTTTCACCGTAAGCAAAGATATTCGCGACTTTTACTTTCATCAAACAAAGCATTGCTCTGTTAGACCACCAATTTAATTTGTTTGCCAGTATTGGTACCACTTGTGTACCTTACCTACATAAACTTTCATTCAGTGCCGCAAGTAATCTCCGTAGTTGTATTTACTGTACTTATTTATAGTTAGAAAAACCGTGAAGTAGGCTCTTATCAGTCTATAAATCAAGTATAAGTTAATGCCAACATACCCCGACCTCATTAGAAATAATAGCTGCGGAACTGGGGGTCGATAATCCTGTTTAAAAAAAAATTCCGACGATCCAAAATTTTGCGGCTTTGTCTATGATTACTAGTTAGGTATTATCAGATAGGTACTTAGGTACAATTAGTATTCTCTTTGATTTATAAAAGAGATATTTTTGATGGAAGTAAATAAAATCGACATTTCATATAGACCTATTTCAAGGTCTTCACAACACATCAAAACAGTACCTACATGTTAGCAACGCGCGCCGTCGTGCTTTCTCGCGCAGCGTGCGAGCATGCAATGTCCAATCTCGACGACTCGTATAGAACTTTCTAAGCAACAATTATTATTCGCATTAATATTTCATTTACTCCTTCAATTGAATTACTGTCCGATTTCTTTATCCATACCATAGCTCTGATGGACTTAGTCGAAAAAAAAAGACATTTTCAAGCTTTGGTTTACCGTACCTGAAATCTTAATCAGAAAAATCATAGTGGTCATTGACGTATGCGTAGCTTTACCTATGACAATCTCTAGACGTATGCACTGCCTCACGGCTAGTGAAAGTTGTGTGACGATTCGTTGAATTTTTAATAGCGCGAAAACTGGGTAAGTAACCTGTCGAAGGAGTGCTATAGCCTTTCTTATTTTTATTCTAGTCCATTTGGCGAGCATTGACCCCGTTTGCTGCGAGACATCATCGCACAACGCTATTTCTTTAATGTTGCGTGTCTCTTAACTTTTCGACTAATATGGGAAAGTAGACGGGTATGTTTCTAATGAAGGTTTTCTAGTCAGTTTCAATTTGCGGAGATTTAAAACCTAAGTAAAATACTTTCAAAAATTGTTTTCAACAGCAATGATAGTTTATTAGGTAGATGGATTGGTTGCTCGACTGAATTGTACGTAACCTCCTGCGTAAATGAAGCTCAGTAGAAATGCGGAACACACAACTATTTGTTCAGTCGACATCATTGTATAAGAGTTTGCGGCAATACATACGATGTAGCATATGTTATTTTCGACTTACAACATTTACTTCAATCCTAAATTACGTGATGACAATACAAAAGGGCATAGAAAGCCGAGTGTTATGTTTGCTGCCATCGACTGAATTTTGTAACAGATTATATATTTGCAAATATTTCATAGGAAACACACATCTTGGCCCTTGTCATCTTCCATCTTCTCTACTGGTGTCTTGAAACCAATAACTACGTAGTATGGTTTATCGGCTCTTCGTGAATTTGCCGCTTTAATTCAGAGGAAATAAATGTTTTCTGGTTTATTGAATGTTATGCATTTTGCTGACTTCTTTATTTAAACAGTGATCCGACTATTAACTAGTTACATATCCTTACGATGTACTTAATTCTTGTTTTGACGGGGAAAATGATCCAATGACATTTCCCTCCTTGGGTGAGGCGAGAGAAAGAGAGAGTGCCAGACTGTTACTGACTAAAAACTCGTGATGTGAGAGCCCCGTTCTCACTCCTACGAACCGGAAATCTGATAACCCCCGATCGGGCATCAGCCCTACTTGGCCCCATCTGCCCTGTGGTGCTCATGCTCCCTTTATCAAAAGCCTAAACGCTAGCTGAATCGGACTAAATAAAAATGAATTGATATTGATATAAGAGAATCATATAGATCATGTCAATCCCATACATTAGCTGTTCAACAAGCATTTGTATTACTTGGCTAGGGAATCTGATCTAGAGTCGTATCGAAACTCATTGCTAGATACAAGTAACTACATAGTTATCTTAATCTTAACTACTACTACTAATACTTTGTGTTACAATAATATAAATTATAAACACATTTTCATTTTCGCAATACGGCAACGAATATTTACTGCGGTCTTCTTAAATTTTTAATGCAAGTTGCGCAGTTTTTTTGAAAGACTTTGCAAACGTGGGCTAGTATTGTGACATGCAATGACCACGGCCTTGTGAATATTTTATTTGATTATATTTCTGTAATGATTTAACCCACTAAAATGAGGGATCTTGGCCTTAATCGAAAAGTGCTAATTAATAAATGTATTATTTAAATGATAATCACGACTCAATATTTCTTTCGGATGCTTGTATCTGAAACTGTCTAATATTTAACAGTATTTGCAGAAGTGGTCACTGGTGGGTGAACAGATGTCCTTGCAAACGTTGCATGTTTAGGCTGGTACAATTGAGCAATTGCGTTTCGGTCGCCACTTGCAAACAATGAACTCATCAACGATGTCTCTGGAAGTAATTATAATTGCCGCGGCTAACGCACGTGAAGTTGTTATTTGATAAGAGACTGTTTCGTAGACTACCATTTAGCTTACTTATGTGTTGAGTAAGTATTACATGTAATTAACATCGGCATCATCTTTCGATCTTAGAGTTCAGTACTAGTTGCGGTGTTAAAATCTAAGATTCGAATTTGAAGCACGTACATGGCTCAATATACAATAATTCGTGTACGTGAACTAGGCAAGCAATCTTTGTAAGTTCTTGTGACTAATAGTAATTCCAGAGCAAGAACTTACGCACTTGGAAGTGAATCACACTAGTTTATGACAATTAAAATTCCATAAACAATTTCTTAGACTAAATTATTGACGGTGAATATCTATGATGCTATATTCACCAATCGGAATGACACTATATTTGGTAATGGGCTGAAATTTTAGCCAGTGTAAATTGGAAGTACTTTATAATTTACATCCGTGATATTTCCGATGGATCCGTGAAATCGCGAGCCCAATGCCAACCTCTACTTTATTATAGCGAAGAGGAGAAACTTAATAGTATACAATAACATGGGTTTCGTAAACTGAAAAATTGTTATCAATATCAATAATTATCAAAAGGTAACAAATGTTACCCACATAAAAATATTAAGATTACTGTTTATTTAATGTGTAATGAAGGTTTCTCGGTGGACAAAATTTACGAGTAGCATGCTTTCAAGGATATTGTACCTTTTATTAAAACCCTTCACAATACGTAAGATTACAAGGTCGGGTTTACCACATTTCAGTTAATGATGTACTTGTACTTAATAATGTAATCAATCAAATAAACGTTCATTTATAGTCCAGTAAAGTATTTCTTTTATTGCTTCCCAGAACTTTATACTTTACCTAGGTTGTACGTAACCCACCTTATAGACAAAGAATTCTAATATTAATGAATGAATTTTTGCAACAACAACGCTGCCTTTTCTTCATCGCCTCTGCATCAGCTAATAAGGTCTATTCTATAATTTTAAGGCACTGTCATGTAGCAGTCGTCGCGTCCTTGTTGTGTACGTTGGCGTTGATTGCAATCTGTAAGCACAGGCAATTACGCCCGAAAGTGTATAATCGTCATATCATGACTACTCTCCGACATTCTTCGGATAAACTCAGGGTTAAAGTGTGTAATGTTAGTGTTGTGTTATAATGCATACTTTGTGTGTTCCGTTCTGTTAGACATGTTCATTCAAAAGAATTAGCTAAAAACTTTTAAATTGCTGTAAAGAGTGGTTCACAGTCACAATTTTGTTTTATATATGCTAGTTATGAAATTGGAAGCCAAAGAAAAACTGAAGAAACTTCTTGTTGGAAACATCGTGTGAAAGATTTAAAAACGACGGTAATACGGATGTAATAAATAAATTGATTTATAGAATGAAAAACACGAAGATTGCGTACCACCCAAGTAAATTGGAACAAAGCTGGAACTAGTTAAACTTAAATTCTCAATATTCATTGTGAAGATATAAAAGATAAAACCAATAAGCTATAAGCTAAGGTTTATGTCGTACTTGGTATCTTTTCAATAAATTGAACATATAAAGTACACACCCATAAATAAATACAAAATTATTCGAACAAGATGTAATGTGATTGCCTGTTGTAACATTAAGATGTGTAGGAAGATCTATTAGTAATTTTACCAAGGGCATATATTTTTGAGGACATGCCAAAATTTGCCAATGTTTACTAAGCTCGTGTAAAACGTTGTTATACTAGCTATCTATACAAATACTTGGTAAGGGCCTGTTTCACAATGATTAAGTTGCTGTTAGCTTAATTGACACACATTTTGTATGGAAAATATGTCGAATTATCCGTCAATTAGGCGAACAAAAACAAGACCTAAGTGTGACTTATACTTAGCACGTGTTTTTGTAAAGTAAGTACCTAGTTACCGACTATATTTTTGACTAAATTATTTCAAAGCTAGCTAGCTAGTAGTCTCTCATCCGAAACATTTGATTAAAATTATTTATGATTTGGTGTTCAGCATTGTATCATAATCGCTGACATAAACGATACACGTCTTCCAAGATTAAATAAAATTACTTAATTTATTGACCTTTAATTGTTCTTCAGCATTT